TCAATTCTGTGAAAGAGAAATGGATTTACTTTCTTAAAGAAACCGAAAATCCTGAACTTTTGAAATTGAGTATTTGTTTGCAATTCCTGCACACAATGCTACAATGCTACAGTGAATATAGTTTTTTCATTAATGTCGGCCCAGTGGATTAATAATAATGATATGACTTGCGCAGATTTTACAAGTACCTATGTTAAAGACCACAAAGAATTGTCGAAGAAAGCAAAATCATCTGAAAAATTTGGCAATCCGAGTACTTCGGCAGTGAATGAAAAATATTTTCATTTCGTAACCGTTCATTACACACAAATACCTATTTTATTCAAAATATATATATCTACAACTATGGAGTCATTCATACATTGCCAACTCGATTTTCAACATTTAATGATAGACATTTTATTGTGATGAATCGAGTAATAAGATTGATAATGACAGTAGGATGGAGTAATAATCTGACATCCCATCGTCTTGTCAAATTCAACTAGGTAGGAATTCGTTCTAGGTACTAGTTTTACTAAAGCACCCCACTATATACTACTGTTTGTGAAATAAACGCGAATTCAAAAGACTCACTTTACATTGTTCTCATAGTTTTAATCACCTCAATTCTACAAATACACGGAAAAATGAGAAGTCACTGTTTTTCATTCTCAACAGTGACTACCATCATGAGTAACCATAACCATAAAATAGGACTTGACACTTCACAGTTGCAGATTGGCCCACACTTATGTGCGGGCTATTCGAATAGATTAGTACAGACCAATCAGAACCATGGAACTTCATTGTTGATAACTATCGTCTAGAGACAGCGTACCTACTACAATTAATCAAAAGTGAAACGGCATATACCTGGTAAGATTGACTGATATATGTGATTGAACGACTTTTTTACTATTAACAAAAGTTCCAACAATTTTCATAAGTTTTAGATGAAATTAATGAGTATTTCAAATAAGATTTAGTGATTTTGCAATATAATAACCTTCATTATTTCCAAAGGTATATTCCTGAACTCTCAGAGTTGCTTTGATATTCGAATAGTTGTAGATAAAGTATAGTATTCTACTCGCACATAATGACTATTAATAGCCATCATTATGCGCTCGTTGAATAATATACTATTTTATCTTTATCACAAACATGAAATTCTGAAAACGTCCCGACGAGACTCTTGCGAGATATGGCAACCCTAGACATTCCCTCTTTTTCCCCCGTGGTCTTCAATTGATAAAGAAATTATTGCTGACGAATTTTCTTCCACAGTTGCGACAGAAAGAAATGGTGGGTACCTATACTTAGGTACTTACCCACATCGCGACACTTGTGGTCCAAAACCTGATCGGTTGCCGAACAGCTATAATAATTATTTAACCACTTCTTGCCCGCCATTGTTTATGCCTGCAATTATGCTGTTTGCGATACAAAGTTTACTGAAATATGTCTTTGAATTATCGTCGATTTGCGACAGACCTTTGCCGAAACGCTTTTTCATCCGGTGGCCCCGATACAAGGTGTTCGGTGTTCTACAAGCGCGAGAGTGTTATAAGATTCGAGCATGGGCTTTGCTCTTCGTTTTCATTGGAGGGTTTGTTCAATTCGTCGTTGAATTTACTAAGTAGCGTATGTGACTTTTTAACATTTCTGAGGAGATGCAATGAATGTTCATGATGTCACTATATATCTGAAGAAAAGTGAGCCAATTCCATTAAATCTTTTTGAACACGCAAAATGTATTTGTATTAGGTATATAGAATCTGATCCTGATTAATAGATGATGTAAATTTTATTCTTAGAGGGCATATTTCCATGAATAACGCTATAGGTACTTCCTTTAGTGAATGTGATTTAATGATCATGTTCATTTAAGCCCAATGAGATTATGGAGGAAAATAAATATACAAAACGCAATTCAGTTGCAGTATAAAATCAAAAATTAGGAAAAATCATATGCATATAGCGAATGAATAGTTCAGGGAAGAAAATTGGGAAGATTTTGGAAGAATGCTAGGTATTCTTCGATCTGAAAGATCATAATACATTCACCACAATCACGATTGAGCCAATATGCATTTTATCGCCATGAAATTAGCCGGCTAGATTTTGTTTGTCAATAGATAGGTTGTCACATATTTGTGTTGGGTAAAACTACCAGTAACAAGCATTTGTTACCAAATAGAGGCTTATGGAAGCTTAATGTACTGAAGAAATGATGAGATTCGATGATATTGAGTAGTACCCTATTTCATATTCGCCAGTTTGTGACGAACTTTTTATACTATTTTTTCACAAAATAGGCGAAGCCGAGCGAAAGCAAAATTTGCGAGTCGAACAAAGTCACTTTTGATCCGAATGAAACATGCTATTTTTTCTGCAACCGAAACAATGAACTCAAATAAATATGTGAAGTAACCACCAATGCCGTGCCATATTTATGCAATGCAACAAATATCGACAAATAATCCGTGTGGTCATGTGGTGAGAATATTCTACCTGCATTAACAGCAGGTTTATTCAATTTTCAAGGATGTTCGAATTGTAGTTCCAATATAAATACACCCTCAGAGTGACATATTTGTGTATGGACCAGGTGCTCTAATGGCAAATACCGCCCCAGAGTGGACGTGGAAAATGTTAGGTTAGTGAGCATATCAACAATAATAATAGCGATTATTTATTCCTCTCCATACTACAGTTACTACATTGTGTTTGACTTGATAATCAGAAGAAGCTAAACAATATTGTTGTTTGAGACAAAAAACTATTGCTCGCCGTGATTATGCAAAAACAAGTTATCCGGAGAATAACGAATGAAATACAGATCAAGCAAGTATTCGAAGGCTTCCCTGAAATCCCTGATAAAATAAAGGTATTTTTATAATTCCAATACTTAACTATAATAAGGTTTATTTATATCTCCAGCATGGGTATGAAATGCCAAATCTGCCGAAATCGGAAACAAATCAGGTATGCGTCTCATCCCAAATAACCAACCGTCACAATGTTGTTCATTCTTGATGAAGCCCAGTACATTATTTTCAGTTCCTAGGAGCTAAAGTTCAACTCTAGCTCCTGGGAACTAAAATTCAACTTTAGCTCCTGGGAACTGAATAATATGTTGCCTAGCAACATACCTATTTTTGTGTCAGTAATAGAAACGTCAATTTAAGAGCTAATTTTGGTATCAAAATGGACGACTTTTGTGTCGGTTGCAGAAAAATGCTATTTTATATGAGCGTATTTTATATCCGCCAATTTGCTACGAAATATTTCACTCATATCAGATATACGCCTGAATTGAAAAACAATATAACATATCTAAACTATCACGATTTGATATACGCCGATTTGAGAGCAAATGAATCAACTCCGGCGCTATTTGTTACACCAAAAACACAATTTTCGCCCTTTACCGATATACGCGCCTTTGTAAATTCAACGACGAATTAATACTCTCATTGATACGATTTCAAAGACACATAATTCTGCTATTCTGTTTTCACTATTGATTAATACACGCATATATTCTAGTAACCAATAAGATGTCTTCAATTTCCTAACGTAGACCCTACTAGTCATTATTAGTAGTGATAAATACCTCTCTCAATAACAAGCAGAAAAAAATCGCTCGAGGAAGCTCTCGCTATTTTTACACTCTTTTGCATGTAATTGAACATGTATTTTGTATTTGTTGATAAAAGCATCATCTCTTATGAATTTACTTTGTATTTATATACACGCCTTTTCTAAGAACCAATGAAATTTCTTCAATTTTCTAAAATCGACCAATCAACAGTCATTTTCAATTATAAGAAGCTACTTCTATAGCTTTCCCAATAACTGATAAATTATATGCACCTCGCTTTATATCAACACACTTAAGTGAATTCTATCCTTGTTTTTCCACCATACTAATAGAATCTACCATGATTTACTCCTTTTCAAAGCGTAGTTTTCGTCATTTTATGAACCACATTAGTCAATAAAGACATTGCCACCTCTGTTATGATTAACCGGAATTCATCATTCTGATGCGAGATTCGCAGGAATGGCACTCGAATCTAGTAGGCATTTATCGCAATAACGACTTGTCAGAATATGCTGTCATCGTAATGGCTACTATAGATTTTAGTGCTTTCATAGTGACAGTTCTATATATTTCAGTTTCACAAAACTCATGAAGATTGAAATTTATTGCTATATAGAGGTGCAAAAAATGTAATATACACCTTGGTAGAAAGGAATAAATTATTACTACGGAACCAGCATAAGTATGCTGTGTTACTACTACTATACTTTTTTACATGATGTCGTTTCTAATTCAAACTAAATTGTCTTTATAGTTATGTACCAATATGTCCCTAAAATTGATTCGAGACATTTTTCCCATTGATAAATATATTTCAAATTGTATTGAAATCTTATTGTGATTTGGCAAAAAACTTCGAATCAACGGAAGTAGAGAAACTCGCTAAAGGAAACTCTCGCGATTTTTTCACTCCCTTGATTCTGAATTGTTTGCCATGACAATAAAATATTCATATAAATAAGTTATTTGTACACCAATAAGGTAGTAAAGAATATCAGTATTATCAGAGATTATAATCTATTATAACCATGACCATAGCAGCATAATAACACTAAATAATTTGGTAGGTTTTATTGCTATAGTGGTGGAAAAACATTTATTCATCTATAAGAACATAATCTTATTGTTGCTCATTCATATATATTGTCAATGACCGATAGAACAATTTTAGAACAATTTAATAGTTCTTGCCAAAAAATACACGATCTTTTTTCAGTGGATCAATTCCTTAATAACTCAAATATTTTCCATCTACTTGGCTTTTTTTTCAGGAACAAAAATTCATCCTATTGAAAAATACTCTTGTGTTTTTACTGATAAAAAATGTACGATGATGAATGTCAGAAGTTGGAAAATTTGCAGGAATAATATATGAGATTCTGATTACATCTACCCATTTGATGTATCATCATTTCACTAAACACATGTGGAGGGAGGTTGGGAACAAAATAACCGATCCTTGAATTCCGTTCTCAATTTTATTCTATAACTTTTTCAGATCATGAGATAATTCAGTCACAACAGGATTCTGTCTCAAAGCATTCATATAAATATCCAGCTCGTCCTCTGAACTCTCCGTACCACCCAATTCACCCCCATTTTCCTCGACATCATCAGCATCAAAATACTTTTCCTCAGCATCCTGATCCATCTCATCGATATTATCATACGAAGTATTAGTATCAACAGTATCGTAGTCGAAATCTTCGTCTTTACCGTCTAAAAAATTCTGATACATCGTGGTGATGAATTCTTCCTTCAGCATTATCCGTTCTTGGGGTGTCATAAAGGGGTTTTTTCTTTTGGGTTTCGGTCTATAAGCTTTATCTTGCTCGAACTCGCCCCATCTCGAGGTGGTAGGGATGTTTGTAGCTTCTTCTTCATCAGAAGAGCTGTTAGTGTTGCCATCACTATCATTATCCTCCTCTTCCTCCATTTGTCCGTCTTCTTTTTCTTCTTGTTCTTTCCTAGCTTTCTCGGCATTGTCTCTCTCTATACCCTCCATCAGTATTTTAACCAAAGTGGCTTCCTCGCCTGATTTGTATTTATCTCTCTCTTTGACTTCTTCTGTGGTAAGATATTGCCCCACTAGTTGCTCGTAGAGCAAGGGGTTCCTTTTCATCATTTCGATTTCCGAAAAGTACGAGTTTTCTTCAACCATGTGCTTTAGTGCTTCATATCTTCGGTTTTTGACTTGCGTCGACTGATGGCCCGATTTAAATTCCTTTTGGAGCTCTGTTAGCACAACTTTTATTTCTTGGAAATCCGGTTGGCATATTTGAGTGAACCTATAGAAATAATCCAGCTGATCTTCTTTGAGGTACTTCCCGAATTTGACGAGGAAGTTGAGTTTGTTGTCTTTGAATAGTTTGAGAGCTATCTCGAACTTTTCTTTTTTGGTTAGATCGGGGTCCCATCGCTGTTGGGGCTTGAAGCAGATGTCATTATTGTAGGTGAGGAAGTTGATTATGTCGTCCCTTTTGGTGTCGCTGTCAGATTCTTGCGGGTTCTCATCATCTTCGCTGTTTGCTTCCAATTCCATGGACTGGGTCATTTTTGTGGATATCTGGAGAAAAATCACATCAATTAAAGATTGTTGTTCTATTCAAGTGAGGTTAGGATACGATAATATAGATGATAAATCAACTAATGCACGGAAAGCGCTATTTGACGACGACGTGAGTCATTTTAACATCGATAAAAAAGGATGCACCTTTTTTATCGCTGATTAACTGCCTGTTTCTTTGATCTAGTACCTATTTGCGCCTGATAACACTCCAATTTCTGTCGTGTCAAGTTTGATTGATGGGTATGGTTCACGCGTAAATTAGCAAGATGAGCCGTTTTAGGAAAATTACGTCTGAAGAAACCACGAAAATGTGAGAAAATCAATTCCGGATACCAGTTACACGTACGGAATCATCAATGAAGGTAATCATTATTGTTGTTTATCTTAAGTTGCGTTTTATTTATCCAATTCCGCTACCGGAATCAGTTTGATGTGTCGTTTTATTTGCAACTTTTACGATTCCGGTTGCTACTTTTCATTCCGTCTCAATACAAGGAATGATGTGGAATGACTGTTGACAGGTGTCAAAAAATGAAATTATATTGACGAAAAACGAAACTTTCTGAAAGTAAAAGACATTTAGAAGACATTTTCATCGTGAGTTTCACTAAGTAGTTCATGATTCTTTCAAGTAAGATAGGTTTCCTGTTCATTCCCAGATAAAAAAAAATCTCTCGATCTCAGAGAAGTGTCTTCAGTCACCACAATTACTGCTCCAAATATTAGTTGATTCATTTTCTAGATTCTTAACTCTAGTATCATGATTTTGAAATTATTTGGATCCCATGTAAATTCTCTCATGCAAGGTCTTGAAGTTTCTCGTTTTATTTGTAAACGTCATTCTGTTCCCACCACCGCTACCTGAATGGAACAAATAAAACGCAACTTTAGGGTCCCTTGATGGAAATTGACGTTGAAGTCATCTTAACAGGGTACGGACAGATCCTCGTCTCCTCTCACTCTAAAGTGTTTGTGAAACAGGTATATAGTTCCATCCTCATTCAATTCTGGAGATAAACACTAGATTTTTGACATTCGTTGTTTTTTAGGTTATATTGAGGTCACTGGCGTATCATACGTAATTTCCAAATGAAATTCCTGATTCAACTATACCAAGATATAGATGAACAATCCTCTAGTATTAGAGTTTACTACTCCAGCATAATCTTTGCGAGGTAGGGAACATATAAATTGTACTAAAAGCTCAATATATTTCTCCAAAAGAGATTGTTCTTTGACTGTATACCAGGATTGACTGAATTGACTAAATGAATTCTGATTTCAAGCTGAGCAGAAGTTCATCTATGAGCTGAATGAGCTGAGCCTTATGATTGAGAAATGGTGGAAACCTCAATGTGGGTATCTGAACTACTGTACTCATGTCATGTGTGCTGAATATATTTTCGGAATTCCAATTCGGAGAAGAATTTATGGAGTGACCAATATCACACCATGTATAAAACTTCGCCTGGGACGAAAAGTAGGCTGATAAAAAGTAATACGTAAAATGTGCAGGAAAATAAAGAATAGAATATACCTAACCCCCATGTTATACATATGATTTTTCCGTCTCCCTTAAATTAAAAGTCATTCTCGAATAATTTATTGATAAAAGTAACAAAGAAGTTGGTATACGCCTCGGTATACGCAGTATAACTCACAGGAACGTTATTTTCACTCTTGCATCCTACATATTTTCTATTTGTGGTAGAGTAATAATCATATGAACTAATGTCTTTCGCCATATTGGATCCGTCATCTTGAATTTCCCAAGTTTGACGAAATAATCATTATCTCCAACCCCGGAAAACCCCAGATACCTTCCAATTTTGAATATAGAATCGGATCATAATTACTAAACTCGTTCGCCATACGATCTTCCCCAAGAAGTAAATACCCTGTACATACCTAATATTAAAATTTTGAATGATTTTCTGTAGCGCCCATGGATGTGACGTGACAGCAATGTCAGGGATGCCAGTAGACAAAACTAAAGTCTCTAGATCGTTAAAAAAGAATGCAGCTATGATCTGTCCGTACCCTGTTAAGATGACTTCAACGTCAATTTCCATCAAGGGACCCTAGTTTATCTGAATATTGTCGTTGATTTATCTTGCCGAAAAACACTCGAACTCTTTTTTTAATTGGATAAATTTCTTTAATATCTCAAACATTTTCCATCAGTTATCATTACTGATCGGCAAATGTTTTTCGTTACCAAGAGGAATTTATCCGATAAAAAAAGCACTTGTGTTTTCACTGTTGATAAATATTGTGATAAAGTGAAATCTTTTGTGTGAATCTGAAGTGTTGATATGGAACATAATATAGTGGTGGGCCATTTGATCAACCTTCATAATGACATAATAGACCGTTGATGTGGTGCTATGATGAAATTGAAAACCATACAAGATATAAACAATTTCAAGTATTTGGGTTAACATATAGTTGTTTTCATGTCAATTATAGCGATTTATCAATGAGACGATTTTAAAATTGTCATCCATTGTTGACATACTAACTCTATACAAAATAAATAAGTGGTTATATCTCGGGTTATAAACTGGGCGTCAATTGACGTTAATATTGAAATTTGGCATCAAATTTGACTTCTCGTAATTTCTAAAATATTGAACGAATTTTGAATTGCCGCCCAGATTCTGAATGCCTTTTTCATCGTCTTTCGAACCGTTCCTTACAGCTTCTTCTAAATTGATCAGGACCCATGATACAGGGTGAAACAAAGTTTCGTGCATTTTGAAAAAAAATTCTCCGCCCCCTCATTTTGTCGGAAGACCACGATGCTCATATTTTATTCAGGCATTTCATAAATAGCAACCATACCTCGGGACGATGAATTAGTCTATTTATTGTCATAACTGACTTATTGAAAATGGTACTTAAATGAATTTGGGTATATCCTAATCTTCGTAACCTGAAGTAATAATTATCTGTACTGAATTATCGTTTATATCACTATAGTGATCTTATTACCTAATGATATTTTCCATTTAGACCCGATTTGAACGAGGCATCTTTAAATTTTTAAGGACTCGAATTACACTGACGTTTTCATGAAAATTGGCAATTGATATAACTATGCATACCTACATTGTTTCAACAATACGTTGTTATAGAAACAAGGTATCGTTGTTTGTTTTTGTTGATGAGATGTGTTGATTTACTGCTCACTAAGGTAGAAAACTTTCATCATAGACTGCGAAGTAATAAATTATTGATTGTTTTTGAGTAACCTGGTATACATATCTGCTCCAACGCTTTCCTGAAATGCATGAAATCATCCATTTATGGAACTCCTCTAAAATTAGTCCATTTTAAAAAAAATGCAATAAACATTTTTTTTTCGGAAACCACAGTAGTTTTTGGCAAAAACTCGAAAACGTTCCGAGGTATGGTTGCTATTTATGGAATGCCCGTTTAAAATATGAGCATCGTGATCTTCCGACAAAATAGGGGGGCGGAGAAATTTTTTTCAAAATGCACGAAACTTTGTTTCACCATGTATCACGGGTCCTGATCATTTTAGAAGAAGCTGTAAGGAACGGTTCGAAAGACGATGAAAAAGGCATTCAGAATCTGGGCGGCAATTCAAAATTCGTTCAATATTTTAGAAATAACGAGAAGTCAAACTTAATGCCAAATTTCACTATTAACGTTTCAATTGACGCCCAATTTATATCACTGACCGAAGTATAAAAAGCCGTTTTTCTCCAAATGTATAACTGTACTAGTACATTTTTTCCCAAGTTGAGCTCAGCTATATCCTCTGAATCCATCTCAAGTTGATATTTGAAAGTGACTTTTTTTAGATAGAATGTTTGTTGAGATCTCCATGATGGAAATTATAGCGGAGTTCAAGCGGCGTTTAAGGAGAATTCCAAGAATAACAAACAAAATTATAATTGAAAATGCAATGTGAACTGCATGATTCATTTGTTGTTCATAGCTGAAATATAAGCGGCAATGTTCAGAATTAACTTTCATGAAATTCCTTATATTTTTCATCCACAACGGAAATCATTCAAATATCAATCAACATGCGATAATACGAATAATAATATGACGATAAGCTCATGAGATAAAAAACCACGGTTAAAATCTGGAGTAATAATAGTAGTTTTCACACTGCAATCATTTGCAATCGCGTGCGGAAAAGTCACTTTATGCACGTGTTGGGTACACTATCTTTTCTACTAGCGTGTAAAAAAAACCTAAAAACATTATAGGAATTTCCTTTCGTGCGCTACAAGAGGTGGAAAAACACACTAGTGCGGAATAGTGACTATTTCAACACTAAAATAAGTGCGTAAAAGTGGACTTTTCCGCACACTAGTAGTAGTAAAAATTTGTCGTTCGAATAAAATAAAATTCATACTTTGGTTGACATTGTAAATATTGGTATTTGCCTCAGTATTGTTTCTTTCGAATTTTTTTTCAATCAATCGACATCGGATGGGAAATGGCGTAGGTACACAAGCTAGAGTCGTTTTGACACAGCCCATGGATATAGTCCCTTTTTCAATCTCAATTTCAATAATCTGGATTTTCAGACATTAAATAACATATTATGGATACTATGAGTAGGAAGAAGATAATCTGTTAATAAGACTGCACACACAACAATCCTATAGAAGTAGACGCTGCTTCAGGTAGGTATAATATGCGAGGGGTAAATCTCTCGGTAAATCTCCTTGGAAGTCCGGTGTACATTTCATTAGAAGTATTTGGTAGTCATTGGAAGTCTTTGGTTGTCTTTGAAATTTGAAAGAAATAATTTATGATTATTGAACAAAATTATTGTTAATAATAGGTATTGGAAATAAACAATTGGATTATCAATCAGGTACCTACTTCCTAATTACGAGGACAGCCTATAGAAAAAAAAACTGAAGATAACTTAGTGAGCGATTATATCGTATAATATTATACTCGACTATATTATGTATGTACCTACCTAAAAGCGCATGGATCCGCATGTAGTAGGTACAGTCGTCTTCAGAGAACATGTCGTACATGGACGGTGTCAGCTCTTTTAATCACCGCTGCAATAAGAGCGCTCATACCGTCCAACTGCGACATGTTAACTGAGGGCGAGTGTACAATAAAATTATTGTGATTTGATCCTATACCAAACCTATACAGGGTGTTGTATTATTGAAAGATATGGTGGTTGGCAAAATTTACGCAAAAACAATATTTTCAAAAAATGAAAATTGACGTGTCTAACGATTTTCCAAAATATATTTCCGTAATGGAGATACAGATATCATAAGATTTTCACAATGTATGAAAGCGAACATGCAAATAGTTTATGCTAAACTGCTAATGTGAACATTGTTCATTGTTTATTGTACTTCGATCGATCATTGTAAAGGCTTCGAAAATCAATGGAAGTCATTGGTATTGGCTGGAAGTCTTTGGTAGTCACTGGAAATCTTTGGTAGTCACTGGAAGGCTTTGGAAGTCTTTAGAAGTCTTCGGAAGTCTTCGGAAGTCTTTGGAAGTATCTGGAAGTCTTTGTTCATTGGAAGTCTGGTGTACACATTTTTCCCGGAGATTTACCCCTCGGGTATATGTAGATTTAGATACCAATGTATACAAGGCGAATCTGAACCTGAGGCTTTTTTTTAACAGGATATATATCTCACCAAAATAAGTTGTTTGGGCGAAAAATTGCTCACAATATTCTTTTTACATATTCAACCTATTAATTAATTATCGTTTTAAAGTGAACCAAAAAACTTTAGGAGGGAAATGAAGCATTAGGCCAAACAACTCATTTTGGCGAGATATATACCCTGTTAAATAAAAAACCTCACTTTCAGATTCACCCTGTATACCAGGTACTAAATCTACGCAAATGTATAAAGGATATTTTTTGCCGCGTCAGATTCAAAAAGAAAACGTCTCACCACCAATGTTCAAAAGTTGCATATGAAATGTCTATTTACAGACCAAAAAAAAAACAAGAAAGAGAGATAACAGAAACGTGGTAAAAATTATTGTTCAATTTCTTGACGTTGCGCCATCTATCCAATTTAAGCTCAACCTCACTGTGGATTGTAGGTTTTTGTAGGTGCATGAATGCCTACTTACAATAAAAATAATAAAATTCCATTCTCTCCTTCATTCATGGATGATGGATGATCTTTGTTTTGATTATTGGGTTAATCATAACCTTATAATACGTGTGGTTTGAACGCAGATAAGTGAGGTGTGTGAAAAATATATATAATATACATTGAACTCACCCCTGTGACTCACCCTGAATTATGGATTCCAAGTGAACAGCTGACAGTGCAAAATATCAAATTTAGGTAGGTTACCTTAATACTTTTTAGCTGTTTGTTTTATATGTCGTAATAGATGGTGGAGTTGAACTGATGGCTGGATTTACAAAACAAAACATGTTACATTCTCTGTTTTCATTAAAGATATCAGATAGATTATTGCAGTGAAACAACTTTGAGAAATTATTTTGGTTGCTGAAAAATTGCATGAGCGTCAAATGTCAAAACTAAGTCAGAGCCCTGTAAAATCCTACTTATCCCACTAGAAAGTGATGCTCTGTAGGATATTACAGTTTTCTGTTACACAGCTCATCTGAAAAATGTTCCTTGTTGCTCGTAAGTTTGGCCGCTTGCTAACAGGTGTCAGCACAAACAAGGTTTGACAACGTTTGACAAGGTTGGTAGAACTGATGACTATTTTACAAATTATAATCAGTTCTACCAACCTTGAGGTTTGAGGCTGATCCGCTGATCAAATATTATAAATACAATAAGGACAATAAAAGGTGTTTCATGGATATAATATACAGGGTTTTCAAACTCAAGTGGGCACTATTGCTAACTTTGTTATTATTGGAGCTACAAGTTAGTTTAATGGGCAAACTAGTATAGTAATTTTTCCGATGATTACGATGACGAAAACGAAACAAAAATCTATAATCGCGTTCATACGAGCTACCTGCTCTACCTACTAGGTGGTATATCGACGTTATGAGGGGGTATTCAATAATGAAATCGGAAGAAAAATCGAACATCGCGTTCGAGAGTTAATTTTTTTTATGGGGACACCCAGTATACAATATTCCTAAATAAGAGAAAATTCGATTGGAACAAAAACTGTCCCATAATCTTTTATCCCAAAAAATGCATGAATAATAAGCAATCGATGATGCAGTTAGTTGAGGATGGTCACGAGGTATTAACTTGATGTCCTGACTTTTGCCTTACCCATTATTGGAAGTTTTTATAAGATTTTAAATCAGTGAAAACAAATTGTCAATAGCTTCGTAAATTTTGAGTTTTTAATAATATAGTTTATAAGACAGTTCTTGTTCAGAATTGAATTCAGTAGCGATTGAGAATATTGTTTACTGAGATTTTGTCAATTCAACTTATACCTACTTATTTGTAGCTCAAATAATAACCATGTTAGTATAATAGTGCCGAGTCACGCCGAGTTGAGTTTAACCCTAATAACACAATAACATCTGTAAGACGTCATAGAAACATCCATATGGGATGATAGGAACATCTCTGGAAAATCCCTATTTTCCTTGGGACATTCTTGGGATGTTGCTGGCAACACCCGTGTCAGCATTTGCGATGTCTTATAAACATCCCATCAGAATGTTTGTGGGATGATATGGGATGTACCAGAGACATTCAGGGTACTTGATATGGAACATCTCAAAGAAACTTTTATATAGGATGTTTTTTTGTTTGATGACAGTAATGGATGACACGGTATGAATTATTTTCAATCTGAAATCCTGAAAATGACCGACCTATTTCCAGATATCAAGTAACAATCCGAATCCGAAAATATAAGTTCGGTGCGGACCAATAACTAATGGAAACAGTTGTTTGAGTTGTTTGAGGCTCATATTTGTTGGCGCTGGGCCGACGGCTGTTAGTAACTCTTAGCAACGTAGTTGTACCGCCATCTATCGGCTGGTATAACAGATAAATTCAGCAATAAATATGCTGAAGAGATATATTTTGATTTTGTCGTTTATTACATGGTTCATGAAGTTAAGCAGGTACTTTGGTAATCTTATTGAGGAATATTTAGTATAATTATTTCAATTTGTTATCGATGAAATTAGCCGGCTTTGGTATAGGTATAAGTATATACATGTACGAATACAGTTTTGATTCCCATTTTTTATCAACTCTTCAATGTTTCAAATGTCACAATTGTTTGAACTGTTCAATCATGTCAATCATCATTAGCAGATATGGAACCATGATATTGTTTATAAAAAAAGATCAAATGGGATGTTTCTGGAACATCCAATGAAAACATCTGATCGATGTCCCAAGAGAAACATCTCTGGGATATCGTACCTATGTCTGAAACATTGGGTCATTTATAGGACCTTAGCGATAGATGTACCAGCAAGATCCCGTGTTGTTAGGGAAAAACTCTGTATAATGTCATGATGGGGTGATTCCTATATTAACCTAACCTGAACATTTTGAACTTGAACTAAAATGCCTTTATTGCTTTTTTTTGCATAAAATAACCAGTTGACTCATTCTCTTCAAGAGTAAACCCCAAAAGGGCTGAAGTCTACTATTTTTCTCCAAATACATTATACTTATTTCTTTTGAGAAATAATTCATTTTTCAATTGATAATTCGATTTGCAACAGATGAATTATTTTTCAAAGATAATAATTTATTCCTAAACAGATAATGGATTCTTCTACAGATCAATTATTATCCTATAATTATAATTTATTATAATATATATTCTAAAACAGATGATCTATATTTACAGATAAATTATTTTTCAACATGCCAAACAAATCATCATCAATGGCTTGGAACTGGTACACCCTCTGCGGAGAAGAAGGCTTTCAAATCTGGTCGCCTCAACGCCACGATTTTGGTATATGCTTCCAACAGTTGTGTTTGCACATTCCAGGTAACCCACAGCTACAAGATTTACCGGGTGTCCCAATATACCTGTTCCAATGAATTATCTCAGCCATTTGGAAAAATAAAAATTCGAAAATTTCATGATCTACAATTCGTTCGAGGAAGCTTCAACTGAGAAAATCATCAATTGAAAGTCACTTCCGGTTTGACCGGAAGTGACTCTAACTTTTTTATTTCACAAAGCACCCTGTATATTTTTTGCAATTTTTGATTTCTACTCAAAATTACCATTCCAACGATGTATCAACCTTGGTACCTATTTTAAATTTGATTTGATCGAGAAAACGACAATTGAAATTTCAAATTGAACGAATTGCAGTAGGCTACGATATTTTTGTAATCTTGATTTTGACTTCAATAATAATTTCAAATTATTAGAATTGTAGTAGATCATATAATTTTCAAATTCTCACCCTTCAAAATGGCTGAGATGATCTATTGGAACATCAGGTATACTGGGACACCCGGTATAGGGTGAATCTTTGATATGGTACGATCATTTCATTCCTGCAGAGTGCTCGAGGTTCCTAGAAAAATCGTTTCTTATTAGTATCTCAAATCGATATACAGGGTATGTCACGACAAGCTTACACTATCTCTATATTGAGAATCAGTCGGGAGAAATCCATGAAAATATGGATGCTTATATTTTAGAATACGCTCTCTTCATTTAAAATATTTTCAGCAATGCAGTGTTGTCGCTTCTATCAAACAGTAGTAAAAACTTTGTTATTTCAACATTTTCAACCAACAAGAACTGTATATTAATAATAATAATCTTTATTTGAAATAGGAACATCCTAATTTACATACATTTCTGATATTTGTAATTAGTAATATAAATACTTAATACTTATACCACTATACTTATATATAACAAAAATATAAAATAAAGAATACAGCTATAGTGTCACAATCCTTAGAGATTGAAATATACATACACACATCTTATACTCATTTACACTCAGTATACATGAGCAACACAACCCACACACACTTACACACATGCCTTCCATAATTCATCTTTTTACATGTACAGTGGTGAAATGATTTCATTTAGACGAATTTTGAATGTGTTTAGAGACGGTGAATTTTTTACTTCATTCGAGAGGTTATTGAAATCATTTAAGCCCTTGAAGAATAATGTTTTCATTGAGCTTACATTTCGAGTTCGAGCTATAGGTATGGAAATTGTTAACGTTTCTTGTAGGATAAGTGTGGATCTCATTATTATACGTAATCAATGAACTAAGATAACTTGGGACTAACTTTTTTGTTATTTTATAAATGAACACCATTGTCATGAAAAACAGACGTTTGTTCACGTTATGCCAGTTCAAAGTACTTAACATCAGATCAATTGGAACATATTTATTGCATTGCAGAATGATTCTCATACCCCTATTTTGAAGTTTTTGTAACGTCATTAAACAGTTTTTGTCCAACAGGTACAGTAAGCTAGCACAATAGTCAAAGTGGGGTTGAATTATCGTCCTATATATATTGCGATTTTCAACTGTTTATTGTTGTCAAGTTTGGGCAAAACAAAAGCGCAACATCAGTCCAAACACCATTTCAATTATAAACATCTCAGTCCCAAACAAGAGGACATCATACAAGTTTCAATATAATACAGGGTATGTCACGACGAGCTTAAACACTATCTTCATATCGAGAATCATTCGGGAGAAATCCATGAAAATGTGCATGCTTATATTTCAATGCAGTGTTGCCGCTTCTACTAGGAAGTTTGATATTACAAACGGAATACTCTGTATTCTATTGCATTTTTAGATTCTCCCTGAAGAGCTAATTTCATCGCTACATCACACTTTCATCGGAAATGATTACAAAGATATATAGGGTGTTCAAAATCGAGATTTTTCAACTTTAGGAGTTGTTTGAGTCTAAACTATTCATTATCGGCCAAAACGGCTCACATGTCCCTATCTCAACTTTTGATTTACTATTCATTGATATTCAATCGGAACAGATACAGGGTGATCAGAGTTCTGAATCTCGAACCACCTTGTATCCAAAATGTTGTTTTCTTAGTTGGTCAATAGGATATGAAGATATAGAATTGAAAAAAATCAGTGGCGCACATTTTATTGACAATAATATTCGGTAAGGTGCCCCCGGGACGCCACTGGATTTCACAATTCCAATTCAATTATGGCTAAATCAGCCCCCCATGACAAAGAATATCATTGCCAAATCTCAAGAGAATCGGTGGCAGGATATTCGAGATATTCATAAAAATCCGACTTTTTTTAAAGTTTAACACACTGTACTTCGAAAACTATGCATTTCCGGGCCCACGTATGAAATAAATTTTATGTTTTCTCCATGCATAATCATCCGCTTTATTTTTTGCGTATAATCTCCGGACACCATGTATGTTTGCATGAACTTTTTTCTTATTTCGACCCAAAAAATGTGACCTCGAAGTTTCGTGCAATATTAATGAAACACCCTGTATATTACCAATATATCATTTTATATTTTCCGAAAATTTCAAAAATTAGCCGAAATGTTTCAATATCTGGAAGAGACATTCAATAATTAGATATTCAATAATTTTTTTTTCAATATTAACTCTGTCGTTACTTGATGGAAGTCCTAGATTTCCACAAAATTCTTTATAACACCAAATGTTGTGTTAACACAGAAGGCTCTTCAAGTGAAATAGTCGTACAATAATTTGAATCCACTGTGTTAGGGAAAACAATAATAATAGATAATAATTACTGAATGACTTATTTTCTGATATATACTGACTTACACTCTTTCTCAGTGCTTATCGTCCTGGCCATCTCTTCAGCCTACTATTTCGGAAAACAAGTTGAATTTGTCACCAGAGGCCGAATTCAGAAACTAGCCATCAGTCTGCGATGCTGTCTCAGTCTCATACTCACCAGTCTTCCTATACTGCAGATATACATCGATAATTACAGGTATACAATTATTTTATTATTGCCCAATCTTTTTAAAAGTCCACGAAAGTTAAGATATTGATACTAAATAATTTTTCCGCATTTATTTGAAGATGACGATGGCGTGCATTTTCCTCCCTTGTTATACCAATAGCTATTATCCTGTGGTCTTATTGTGAATTCAGGAATACTGTTAGAACGTTAAATGACCCTCCTCCCCCCCACCCCTCAACTTTTGAACGGAACAAAGCTATCACAGTCGGAGCAAATTCTGGAAAAGGAACACACCACGATTATGACTACTACTTGGCATTCAAATCATTCTGGTCACGTCTCCTAGTGCCGAAAGGGCACCATCAACATTTTTTTTTCTAATGTAACGTGGTATCTGCGGTTTTGAAAACCTTCCGAATAGATGTTGGATAGAGAACCAGAAGGCCTTCAAAACGATATGTGCCACGTTAACCTCTTCAATATTTGAAGAATAAACTTGATGAGACCCTCTTGACACTAGGCCACGTGACCACAATAATTTTCATGCTGAAAAGTAGTAATAGTTTTACCCGAAGTTTTACCCTCTATATTGTAATATTTATGGATTTCTATGACAATGGGAAAGACCACTAAGGGATGAAATCCGTCCAAACCGAGGTCCAAACCCCTTTCATTGGATGAATCATGTACAATCAATTTTATAAGTGATTGGAACTTTGTTGATGATGGGAACTTGTGTGTGAATGCAAAATTCAGTAAATTCATGTCTATCTTGGAAGAAACCTATAAGATATCTTTTCTTGAAAAGACATATAAAATAAGAGCTAGTCAGGGGCATCATACAACATGGTTTGATGATACTCTAAGGGCTATGCGTGATCATTTAAATTTTTTGGGAGAACTGTATAGACATCACAACAGCATAGAACTGAGGCAGGAATATAATAGATATAAATTGAGATATCGATTTGCTATTAAACAAGCCCTTCTCATTTTCCGAGGCCTCAGTTATTGAAATCAGAGATATCATTGACAACTTAAAAAACAAACCTAGTTCTGACATCTACGGACTCAATGTGAAACTGATCAAATCTGTGAAAAACAATATTATCCATCCTCTCACAAAACTAATTAACCAGGCATTTAGGAAAAATATTTTTCCAGATGTTCTAAAAATTGCTCAAGTTATACCTATATATAAAAGTGGTGAACTGGACTTACCCCAGAATTACCGACCTATATCTCTCCTGCCAATAATATCAAAAATACTAGAAAAATGTACTGCCATCAGAATAACAAAATTTTTCGAAGAAAATAAGTATTTTACAGAATTTCAATTTGGATTTAGGAAAAATAAGAATACAGTATTGGGAATATTGGATCTAGTATCATATATTTATGAAGCTTTTAATAATCTAGAATTTACAAGTGCCTTGTTCTGTGATCTGAGTAAGGCGTTTGATTGTGTGTCACATGAAATTCTTTTGCGCAAACTAAAAAGTTACCACTTCTCAGCAGATAGTTTTACCTTTCTCAAGTCTTACCTAACAAATAGAAAACAAACTGTGAAAGTAGATAGTGTTTCATCGGCACTTAAGGATGTCACAATCGGGGTGCCCCAAGGCTCAGTCTTGGGGCCCGTCTTGTTTTTAATATATATAAATGACTTACCATCTATAGAACCAGGAGCAAAATTCACACTATTTGCGGATGATACGACGGTGGCCATTTCAGCAAATACACTAGAAGAGGCTCTAAGGAGTACAGTAGATATTCAAAATAACATCCAGAGTTGGTTTTGTGCCAACAAACTTCTACCCAACACCGGAAAAACAAATAAGATTGTCTTTTCAACTAGGGACACGGGTGTGACCAACGGTGACGTGAGTAGTGTGAAATTTCTGGGGGTACAGATTGACCCACTGCTGCAATGGGGTGTGCATATTGATGGGGTGGCAAGCAAATTAAGGAGTGGCTTATTTGCTCTTCGCTCTCTAGCTGGTAATGTCTCTATTTCTTCATTGAGGACAGCTTACTTTGGAATGTTCCATTCTGTGATGTGCAGTGCGATATTGGTATGGGGGCACGTACCACAGTCAAAGAGAATATTTGCGTTGCAAAGAAAGGCTATGAGAATTATTGCAGGACTAGGGTATATGGATGACTGCCGTGAGGTATTTGGTGAGCTTGATGTGTTGACTCTGCCATGTGTATACATACATACGTTCACAAAAATAAAAATTTATATAGGACTCACGCTGAAAATCACGAAATTCAGACAAGAGGTAGGAATAGGTTAATACCAGTCCATCAACGTCTAACAAGGTGTCAAGACGGCCCTGGGTACTTGGCTGTAAAATTTTACAATAAAATTCCTATCAATATCATAAATTTAGAATTTGATAATTTCAAGAAGTAAATAAGAGGTTTACTCAATCAACGCAGGTTTTATTCAATAGATGAATTTTTAAACTACAACTTCTGATAAGAAACGAGTTTTAACATAACTTTAAGGTACTCAGTACAGTGTCTAAAATTTTGTATTAGTATATGTATTTTTATATTTTTTGTAACAGTAATTGAATTATGTATTATAGCTTGACGTGTGTAAATACAATTGTATGTTAACATAAATAAATGAAATGAAATGAAATGAAATAAGTTGAAGTTCAGTCGAATCTATAGCGTTTTGAAATCAGCTTATTCCATTTGATATTCCAAAAAGCCAGATGTGAAGATGGTGCCGTATTAGTCCCGAATGGACTTATATCACAAAAAAATTTTATTTCATAATTCGATAGAACTCACCCAAACTAGCTCACCACCGCAAACCGTTTCTTGCTGTGAGCTCCCTACGTTTTGTAAAAAATTATTGAAATCCCCGATTTTTCGGACCTCTGAAAACGAGGCGATGATGTGACGTCAAAACCCTAATACTGAAACAAGACTATTCCAGACAGAGATGAATGATACATGATTTCTGACAGAAGGAATTAGCGCGAGATCACAGTTGAAAGTTAATATATCAGTTGCCTCAGTTTCCGTCGGGCGTTTGGTATTTTCTTTCAACTATGGCGAGATGAGGTTTCTACGTCATAAGAGGGTCCGTTTTCAGAAGGTACTATTATTTATGTCCAAAAATAAAACATTCCAGTTAATTTTCCGTTCGAATTATGTCGTCAGTCATTATTTATGTATAAAAGGATCATTATAAACATGGTTTGAATTGAAAGTTCTGCTAAGGTTTACACGCCCATTGTAGGTATCTCTCTCTGATACCTTTCCATGCTGCGGTGTTGCAGTGTGATTGGTCCGCTCAAGGATAATTGGCGTGTTGGGACTAATACGCCACTTCAGTTACACCAATGAATTGACACTATTCCAAATGACGCAGGAAGTGTGGTTTCTGAAATGAACATATTTTAATTTTTTGTTTCATCGTCCTAGTATGAATGAAAAAATTCAAAATCATATTTTCTGGTAGTTTTTTGGTATCGAGCTCATGATGATGAAGTTTTGAAAAAATCAGTGGTCGCCTCCATTCTGGATCAGAATATTTCCAAGAGGAATGTTCTCAGATATACAGGGTGTCCCTAAATTGCTGAGACACAGAGCTACCACGTGTAGAGGAGGTCAAAATAAGTTGTTCAAAGTTTAAATTTATTGAAACATTTACGGACAACGTCAACAACAAACTTGAATGACAATAAAATTGTTTCCTGTCAAAATCACGACTTGCCTTCGTTTCCACTGCCAACTAAGTTGTATATCACAATTTAATTAAACTTGTACTGGGAATAATTATCTGGTAGGATTATTTGAGAGAACAATTTTTTCTTCAAAACTATGAGGTATACGAAATTTCTACAAGAGTAATAAAATGAAGGAAATTGATTAGTCTTCAAGCTTAAAACATTTCAGAACCGCATTATGACCCCTAAAAAAGTTCTGAAAAAAATTTCAGGGGGTGAGGGTGGTTCTAACCCTTCTACAATTTCTTTTAGGTTTCTTCGATTACCAAAAGGAAAGTAATCTTCTAAAAAACACTATTGCCAAATTTCATAAAATTCGTGTCACTTATTTCTGGACAGCGTACAAAAATGTGTTCTTCATGTGAACTTTGAACTCTTTTCACGGACAAACAATTTTACTACCTCTACACGTGGTAGCTCTGTGTCCCAGCAATTTTGGGACACCCTGTATATCATGAACTCGAAAAAATTGAAACATAGAAATACAACGAGAATTTGCATTCTCTATCTGAAAAAAATATGAACTTTCTCGGTATATTCAACAGGAAACTACTACTTCCCACTTGATGATACCATTCGATATATTGAAATTTACAGGGGCGAAGAAAATATAGCAGATATTTCCTTCTTCTTGAGTGCCATACAGGGCATAGCCTGGGTGACCCATTTCATCTACAATCTGGGTCTGAGGAAGCGCCTGGGCAAAAGCCCCAGAGGCCCCATCTTCATGTGCATCCTTTGGTCGCTAATTTTCGCACTCACAGTGGTTTCTGCTCGGAGTCACTATCTGCTCTACAAGTATTCCTTCCAGTACAATTACAGTATTAACTTAGCATATGGATTCAGCGTGGCGTATTTGATAGTGCAAGTTTTGTATGCTCTGACGATGATACCAGATGAAGGAGGGACGACGTATCTGAATTTTTCTGAGAGGTATACAGAGGTGAGTGGAACTGTACAGGGTGATTCCTTCCATATACCTATTTGAACAGCTTCTACAACCTAGAGTTCCTAAATGTACTTGACACTGCTGTTTTGACGTTTTTTGTATATCAGAGTATGGACACTATGACAAGCACTGAAAATCAGACATAACCACAAATAAAGTGATGGAAAAAGCGGGACAGTACTTTGACAAATTGAGAGAATTAGGAGGAAAATGCAAGTTTGTGCAGTTTCCAACTTTGAGAACACATTTCCATCGGATAACGTAATTCTACAAAAATGGAAACATAATATGATGCGGCCGGCATGGAATATAGGTTCAGTCCACAATATTTGCGAGGTATTCAAATTTCTTGGTAGGATATAGAATATTTTTCAACGCATTTTTATCAGGTACACTTCAAAACGGAAGATTTGATGTTGAAGAATAGGATATCGTATTGAGAGAAAGAGCCGAACCGATAATTTAAAAACTGAGCAAGTATCGAGAAGAACCTTATTCCAATTTAGAAACAACAGGAAACGAAAAATTCATTTCGAACATATTTAAAAAGAAAAAGACTTTAGAATCAAATGTTTAGAGCAGATATATTCAAAAAGTTTACGAATGGAAGAGAGTGAGGAAGTCAGGAAACAAATAGAAGAAATATATAGAGAGTTGGAAAATAAGTTGAAGAAAAAAGATTTGGATACAAAAGAAATAATGTTCTATACAATTTATTGTACCCTTTTACCCACTCGAGGAGACGCTATGCACTCTCATACAAAACAGAGAAAGATATATGGATGTACTCTTCCCAGGACTTGTGGAGGAAGGAAGATACGAGAATCATTTATCTAAGCGAAAAACATATTCTTGTCCTTGTCTGGCAAAACATATGATTCGCTTCAAAATCGTTTGTGTGTATGTCGATTGTCACTGTCTAGTGTCCGTACTCTGATATACAAAAAACGTCAAAACATCAGTGTCAAGTACATTTAGGAACTCTACTACAACCTAGCAAACATCAAATCTCTGGCCGCCTTCTGGCCCTGTACATGATAGATCGGCAGATTGCTGGCCATGTACAAGCTGCAGTGGTAAAACGTCGGCCCATTGTATGGCATATTGTATCCGTTTGCCTATAATTCATATATAATGAGTTAGGGTTACTTACTTATTATTAAAATTTAACTTTCTTCAAAAATGAATTTGAAAAAAATCCAATTTCCCTGAGGCCTTTTTCATTGCTATGAAAAATTCTCTTTATTCAAAATATTTTCAGCAATGCAGTGTTGCCGCTTCTATCAAAATGTAGCAACAACTTTGTTATTTCAAATGGTATACCTTGTATTTCATTGCATTTTTATATTCTCCCTGAAGAGCTGACCTCATCGATACATCACACTTGGGGTCTATCAGAAATGATTTCAGAGATATAGAGTTTTCAAAATCGAGATGTTTCAACTTTAGGATTTGTTTGTGTCAAAACTATTCATTATTGAGTTCTTTATTGAAATTTACTTCCGAAAGAGGGGCATTCACTAGCCTGTGTATCATACTATTATATGCTGCAATTTTATGTTGATGAGGGTGTGTTGAATTATTATGAATAGTGATATCAGTGTGGGAAGGTTTATGGAAAATTGAAAAATCATGTTCAAACATCAGGGTCGTACGTTTAATCAGCGCATTCATGAACATAAGATGAATTTTATGAAAAAGAAAACAAATTCAACATACGCCAACCACATATTAGAAGATAACCATAGTTTTGATGTTAATTTCGAAATTCTACACGTGGAAAATAAAGGAATGAAACTCAATCATTTTGAATCATTAGAAATCAACAAACTCAAAAATTCTGACATTTTACTTGATGATCAATTAGACCTCAATAGTTCACCACTGTTGAATGTGTTTTCTTAGTAAGTAATAATATGTATTTGCTATCAAATCTTTCAAGTTGATCCGTTACACCGTATTTTAATGTAGATATTGTGCCTAATTTCCGAAAATGGAGGTTTATCGTACCTGTCCACAGGTAACTAATCCTTCAGGTTGGGAAAGTAGGATATACCGGGTGTCCCAGTATACCTGTTCCAATGGATTATCTCAATCATTTCGAAAGTAAAAAAATTGAAAATTTCATGATCTCCAATTCGTTCAAGGAACCTTCAACTGAGAAAAACGAAAATTTAAAGTGACTCTAACTTCTTAATTTCAAATTGCACCCTGTATATTCTTTACAATTTTTGCTTTCTACTCAAAATTACCTTTCCAACGATGTATCACACTTTGAATTTTACAATTGATTTGATAGGAAAAACGAAAATTGAAATTTGAAATCTAAAGAATTGCAGTAGACTACGATATTTTGTGTACATGATGATTTGTTCCTCAATAATTGATGATTCATGAACAATTTTGCATTCGAGATGATGAAGAGAACGTCAAATTTCAAATTATTATAGAAATATTTAGTAGAACTGGAAGAATTAATCATTCTTAAATGAAAACCTCAGTGTGCCATGGAAACATTTGAATACATTGGTTTGTATCTTCGACAGTTAATTGAGAATTCTCAATGGTTGTGTGCGACTTTCAAGAATGAATAACCGTGAAAATGATATGATAACTTCACAATTTAAGAGAAATTGGATATGATACTGATTTTAATTCCAAATTTCAATTTGTCGTTTTCTTCATCATATCAAATGTAAAATACAAAGTGTGATACATCGTTGGAAAGGCAATTTTGAGTAGAAAGCAAGAATTGCAAAAAATATACAAGCTGCTATTTTAAATAGTTATTAGATTTACTTTCGGTCAAACCGGAAGTGACTTTAGATTTTCGTTTTTTTTCAGTTGAAGGTTCCTTGAAGGAACTTGAGATCATGAAATTTTCAGATTTGTTACTTTCGAAATGACTGAGATAATCCATTGGAACAGGTATACTGGGACACCCGGTATAAAAGTTAAGCAAGCCAACGTTAGTTTAGTTCATTGTACCAGTATATCACCTGACGAAGCTACTGTGTTAGGGAAGCATGTCGTGTGTTTGAGAATTTTGTGGAAATCTACATTTGCCATGGATTTCCATCAAGTAACGGCTGACTCAATTAAAAAAAAAGTATCATGAATTGAAAAGGAATATTCTCAGATAAATTATGAACATACAAAAATGGATATATATTTATATAAAGCAATACATTGAGAATTCACATTCTCTATGTGATGAGAATATTTACTGTTTCTCAGTTGATTCAATAGAAAACAACTACTTTCCTGGCTATATGCCACGACGAACATTGAATTATATCTATTGAACACACACGATAAGAGTTTGAAAATAAAATATAAAAACTTCTGAAATTGAGAATTTGCATTCTCCTTCAGACAAAAATATGTATATGCACACATCATTCTGAATATTCAACAGAAAACAACTACTTTCCAGGCTATTTGCCTCGTCGAACATTGAATTATATCTGATGAACATTCAAAAGGAGTACATGAAAAATGAAGAATAAGTGGACATCATGGTTACTGATGAGGATTTAGAAACTCGAAATGGTTTCATTGGAATAAAGTCATATAACCTGTGTGTGAGAGATAATATTTCCCATATCACTGATATGAATGATTATTTTTGGAAGTTTTCAAGCTCATCAAGATCAGAGTTTATGCCAGTATACTTCTCCTATACATTCCAATTTTCATTTCAATGCTGAATATATTGGTAAGTTATATTTCTATATCATTATACATCATATTATTCATCCGATTTGAAGAAGAATGTCAATTCTCAATATCGGAGGTTTTTATTCTTCATTTTTCATGTACTCCTTTTGAATGTTCATCAGATATAATTCAATGTTCGACGAGGCAAATAGCCAGGAAAGTAGTTGTTTTCTGTTGAATATTCAGAATGATGTGTGCATATACATATTTTTGTCTGAAGGAGAATGCAAATTCTCAATTTCAGAAGTTTTTATATTTTATTTTCAAACTCTTATCGTGTGTGTTCAATAGATATAATTCAATGTTCGTCGTGGCATATAGCCAGGAAAGTAGTTGTTTTCTATTGAATCAACTGAGAAAGAGTAAATATTCTCATCACATAGAGAATGCGAATTCTCAATGTATTGCTTTATATAAATATATATCCATTTTTGTATGTTCATAATTTATCTGAGAATATTCCTTTTCAACACTTTCATACCCAATCAGGGGGTTCAAACTTGAACGATGGAAACTTGTGATTTTTATGGACTTCTAATCGCAGATTCGTGATAGAGTTTCAATTCAGAATTTCTTTCCACGCCCTGTATGATGAATGTCAATTTATCATACACCCAAAAGCAAGTATCATGAATTGTTGAGAAACTTTTTTTTCTCGAAATATCCCATGAAACTCAACGAATTCCCCCCAGATTTCCGTGGAACACCAGCCTCTGCTCACCGGCAGCGCCTACTTCCGCTTCCGCGAAGAGAACGACCCCACCTACTTTGGAGTAGCCATGGAGGACACTGCGTGGCCCTCCAAGATCTTCTTCTCGTGGGTGAACCCGCTCATGGAAAAAGGAGTGGCGGGAGGGCTGAAGAAGCCCGACGATCTGCACGATTTGCCCCCAAACATGAGTTGCGGACACATGGGGGCGAAGATGACGCAAAAATCTGAAGAAGAACGTTTGGCAGACAGTCGTACAGACGCAGGTACTTGATACTCTCACCGGCAGAAAAAAAAAGCTGCCAGAGAAAATTTATTTAGCCCTGTACAGGGATTGTTTTATCAATGTGAACCCCCTTTTATCGTTTTCGTTTCACGCTCATAAAAAAAAGTTAAGCTGATTTTATACAATTTTTCATACAGATTTTACTTAGATTGACAATGATGCAACATCTCTTCAAATATAGAGAAAATATATTTTTTTTCAAATGGAATGCGCCTTATATTTGGATACATTTGGATTCCTCAATTCATCCTGATTTCAAATATATGATAAAGTGGTCGCCAAACTCTTCAATGTGTTGAGCTATTTTGTTAATTTTGGAATAAACAGCGAGTTACTCCACGTTAGAGTCCCTGTATATACCTTAGACAAGAGTCCGGACACAACTATACTCCTGTCCTTTTCTGTTTTCAAAAAATGCATTGATGATTGAATAAAGGAATAAGACATATATATATCGAGCTCTGTCTTTTCAATTCCCCTAGTGTCAATGATTGTCAGAAACAATTTTGAGGGTTAGATTATTTGTCAAACCGTTCATAGTCGTAGGTATAAGTGAGAAATAGGGCTATTTTAACTAGAATAACTATTAGATTTTCAAATAATGAACAACAGGGTGTTCAAATTTCGAAACGATAATTTTCGTAATCAATTCCTGAGATATGGTTATTGCAAATTTTCGTCATCAGATATTTCTTTCCTTCATTAGATATAAAAAAGATAATTTGAGTGTTCTACGTGGTATCACATATAGCAAAGAAAATATATAGTAGTTGTTTTTTGTTGGGATATAAAAAAATAGAAGATATATAATTGTTTCAATATAATTTTAATTGTGTCGGTTTCCCACCTCTTCCTGCAGTCTACATTCACCAATGAATTCTTTAATTTGATCTGAATTGAAAACACCGTGGACTGATGACATAGCACATTGCAATTTCCCTAAATCTTCTAGTTTTGATTTTTAACTTTCAATTTCTCTCCGCATCATCTCATTTTCTTTTTCTGCGATCGTATTATTCAGTAATTCCCAATACGATGACGTCGGAACTCTTTTTTTGAAGAGATTAACGGCACAGCAGACTCTTTCAATTTGGAATCCATCAGTTTGAAAGAATCTCTATCAAAATGGGTCTAAAATTCATCTTTTTTGTACTGTTTTTACAAGTGAATTCAAATATTCACCTCACATATTGCGGATTTCTTGAAATTAATTTTCCATTCTGGACGTTTCATTGCATCCTTCCATGACATTATATCTTTGAAGGATTATTCGGAAAATTGAATAACTTGAATCCCTTTTTTAATGAATTATCGCAATAATGTACGCAGCATGACATTGAAATAATTTGAAATGCAAAATTTTGGCGGTCATAAAATTTCAAAGTGACAGTGACAGAAATTCGAAATAATTAAAAAAAGCGGGCGAGACGACTATGGTGTTTCGTCACATTGTCAGGTGGGCAAACCAAATGAAACAAAATATCAAAAACCCCAACGGCTGTCAGTTTTGTGTCCGGACTCTTGTCTAAAGTATATACAGGGACTCTACTCCACGTAACGCAACGTAAATGATATAATCCACAGTTAATTTATCATTTTATGTATTTATTTTACTATTTAACTGGTAATACATAAAACATAGGTACTAATAATGAACTAATAACAAAATAACTAATATTACTAGTACGTACTTGTTCATAGCTACATTCCTACCTACCAAACGAAGGTGTTTAAAAAATAAACACAAACTTTTATCCAGCCTCAATGGCATGTCACGTAAGATTAAAAAATAGTTGATAATAACAACAAAAAAGTAACGCACTATCATGAACATGAACATTGAAAAATAAAAAAGAACGTTCAATGAGAAGGCTGACACTCAGACTCATCGATAATTTTCTTAATGTTTGCAGTATAATTTGATACAGCCATTGGAATACAATTATCCAAATGTTCGTCTGAAAGTCGATTGCGATATTTGTTCTTAATAAACTTCATATTGGAAAAAGAAGATTCACACAAATAGGTTGAATTGAATGATGCTTCCACTTTCAAGGCAACACGGCATAGAACTGAATATTAATTTGTCTTTACTTACAATAGGCCAGATACATTTGGTACTTGGGACTGACGATTTTAAGGCTAAATCATTTTGAAACTCAATTACTTCCATTTCTGTTGCAGCGATGTCTTTGCCAAAGTTCTGCATAACACAAGTTGCAAACTGTTGGATATCAATTTCCATGAAGGGTGAAACAACAAACTGCGCTACTGAAGCCATTTCCTTGAAATCCTTGAAATGATTTTTGAAGTTATTCTTCATGGTAGATACTATTTCTACATGATATTTGCTGTCATAGGGTTCTGATGGATTTTGAGATATTTTTTCTGAAAGAATAGGAAAATGCTTGGCATTGCTGTTAATTAGGTTTTGTTCCCAAAACTCTAGCTTTTTGATAAATGCTTTTATATCAGAAATCATTTCCGTTAGTTCTTTGTCTCTCCCCTGAAGCGGCATATTAAGTTCGTTCAATTTCTCTGTAATGTCCACGAGGAAACCAATACCTCTAAGCCAGATTGAATTTACTAGTTCCGGAGTCAGCTCATCGCTTTGTTTGAAAAATTGAACTATGCCAGATAGGACATCATTAAAACGTTTCAGCACTCGAGGCCTGCATGCTCCGTGGGTGACGTCACTTAGTGAGGCCTAACCAGCGGCTCGAAACGACAAGCGCTTATAGCGCTATAAGGCGACCGCGTATTTCGATTTTAGTTTTAGATCATCATTGAGCCGATTTTGCTGTTTTTTGAAGGGCTTCTGGTTAAAAAAGGATGCCAGTCGTCAACTGAGCCCTTCTTCTCACCCCATTTGATTTTATTATGGAAAAACGAAGTTTTAAAGCAAAAACCAGGATAAAACACAAATATCCACCTACAGCAACCCATTCGAATTAAATGTATTGGCAAAAATTGTGGTGAAGGTAAACTTCACACCTACTTATACAGGGCCCGCAGAACATAAACTTATCGTGAGATTGATCGAAAGAAAATGGTGGAAAATTATTATTATTTTGATTGACATGCCGTTTGTTACAATTACCTATATTTATCTTGGAGAATTCCTATTACCTGAAAAAATAACCAGTGAGTGTTTTCAATTTTCTGTTGTTAGATTTTTCACCCAAGTGGATCGTTACACTTGAAACCGTAATTTTTAAGGGTAAAACTGCATTTATCATGCGATGGTTTTTTTTTTGAAAATTTTTTTCGGTACTCACGTAATTTTGTCTGATAAACCGAATTTTATAATGAAAATGTGAACAAACCACTATTTATTGAGATATTTCAAGAAAAAGTTTGAAATTTCGCATTCTTTCTCCCCTTGTGTTGGGGGCATTCGAAGCTACTTGCTCTTATTTTGTCATTGGACACTTTATATACTCATGATGTACTTCGATGGCACATTTTTATATAGAAAATTCAACAGGAAATATGATTTTTATGGCGAGTTTTTCATATTTAGTGAACAAGCATTCCAGATGACGACCATTTAATCAATAGTCAATCAAAATACGAGATGTCAAATGTCAATAGATTGCTTTCGAATGACATCACATCCTTCTTTTCACTAAATATGGATTAATCTCAAGAAAATCATATTTATAGTTGAATTATATATAAATTGTCCAATATGATGAAAAAATAAGGGAAATTTGTTCTAAATGCCATCCAGAAGACAGGTGAAAAAGAAGGTGAAATTTGGAACATTTTAGTCAAATATCTTCATGATAAATATCATGATAAATGCAGTTTTACCTTTTTAAGTAGAGTGTTTGTAGTTCATGTTAATATGATAGTTGCAATTTGATCATTGAAATGAATTCTGCATCCATTGCCACGAGGCAAATGACCGTTTTCAGAAAGAAATTTGAGAGTGAGAATTAAAAAAGCATGAACTTTTGAACCACCCACATAATTCCCCCGACAAAAGGGAACACAGCACTTGAAAGGCATTGTTATTTCGGCGATCACAACACAAAATATTTCACAAAACAGTAATTTTTCCGCCAATTATTTTGATGAATAAACAACAAAAGAATTCGGGACCGTTTCAAAAACATACGTGAATCACCGATGAATTAACACGAACTGACGCGTTAGTCGACAAGCGATAAAATAAAACACTGGCCTCTCTTGGCGACGTCACGAGCTGTTTACGTCAGAGTCTGCTGGCCTTGTTGTATCGGTGGTAACGGTAGGTCCCCGTATTGCCAGTCAACTTCATCGGCCAAGGTTTTGAATAATCTTCTTTGTAACGCTTGAGCTCTAATCTTGTTCACAATTTTAACCACCAATTTCATAACGTTGTTTAGTTTCAAGAAATTTTCACATAATGCTTGCTGATGGATAATGCAGTGGTAACAGAGAAATTGCGGAAAAGTTTAATCTTTACTAAATAACGCCACCAGACCCTTATCACAACCGTCATCGGTTGTCAAGCCTACCATTTTCGATATTGGAATTTTCTAGGAAGAAATAATATTTTTTAAATGAGAAAACAACTCCTGTCCAGTAGTGTGTCCTTTCAGTGGAATAAACTTCAAAAGATATTCTTCAATCGTAAAATCACTAAAAACCATCCTGACGAACACGGCCATCTGGGCAGTGTAAACGACATCTGTTGATTCATCCAGGGCAAATATTAGATCTATTCAATCTGTGAATGAATGGAATTTTGAGTATCACTCATTGAATTTGATATAATATTGAGTATTGTGTAGTGTTTCATCCTAATGTTCAGTTCTTCAACCATCATTGAAGCAAATATTATGAAGTGAACTTTCTAGGCACTCTGAAAAAACTCAGCTTGCTGAAAGCCCTCTACAGGACTTTTTCAGTGCAGTTCTTCAGCATCGGAATCCTGAAGCTGGTCGCTGATATGTCGGGATTCGCTGGACCGATGTTACTGAACAAACTGGTAGGATTTATTGAAGATAAATCAGAATATATTGGATGGGGGTACGCCTATGCTGCTGGTCTGGTGCTCACAACCAGTATATGTGAGTACAATGAAGTAGCTTTTGAAAAAGAAGGATACGATGTATTTTTTTCTACAAGCGTGCGTGCGTGATTCACCATTTGTCCGCAACATTGCGGGAAAATTTTTCCCACACTAGTGAGTTTGTTTTTTGCAGTATGAAGTATGTTTGATCAAATTCATCCATCAATTTGCACTATTTATCATGACAATAGAGAAATATTGTAAAATAAAAATTGATCATCATAAAAATCCCCCTATAGATTTGGATTGATCTAATTATTAAGTGTCGAAATTCAAATGAGAAGCATACTTGAGTCACATGACTCAGATAGCCAGGCGGCAATCAAAGCAGTCAAATCTATGCAAGTTAACACAAAACTAGTATGGGACTGCTTAGAAACCCTAAATGCACTGGGCAGTCAGAACAGATTGACTCTAGCATGGGTACCAGCACATACAGGGTACGAAGGCAATGAAGAGGCAGACTCACTTGCCCGAGCAGGAGCAAACAAAGCTCTTAATGGCCCAGAACCCTTCTGTGGTATTGCGAAAGCTATACAAAAGACTAGTATCAAATTATGGATGCAAACTCTCAAGAATGGTGGAACAACTCGCCAGGAATGAGACAGGCAAAAGAGTTTATTAAAAAACCATCGCCAACATTCACAGAATATCTACTAAGCCAGAAACGAAGTTCAACTAGAATACTAGTGGAACTTCTCACAGGGCATTGTAGGCTCAACAAACACATGAGTACGATAGGTCTGACTGAAGAACTGCTGTGCAGGTTCTGTCAAGTAGAGGAAGAAACAGCAGTACACATACTTTGCCACTGTGAGGACTTGTCAAGACTAAGGTTCCTTACGCTGGGTGAGGAAAAACCAGGAGCCCAGAGATACACAGGAGATCTGAAAGCTAGCCTATGAAGTCTCATAGAGAAGGCGGGACTAGCCGACGAACTCTAATCGATTTTGAGGGCAGACACAATAGATCTGAAAAGGTCGCAGTGTGGAGGCAGATAGCCCAAATGCCCCATTCCAAATCTAATCTAATCACAGTCACAATGTTCCAGTTCCATGACTTTTCATCAATAACACCAGTTCAAATCACATCACTCTCACTCTATGAAAATTCACGAGATTACAAGATCAGCAATAGATTCTGTAGCAACTTGAGATGGTGATGACAACCTCTCCTACACGCTTTGATCGCCAGAGAACTTCTCGATCGGTTTCTTGCTTCGAAATTTTCATGCTTGTCAAAACAAGATTTTTTTTATTACTTACTCATAATTGTTGTTTGACCTGAATACAGAAATAGGTTGATCATGCATCAATTTTGACCACCGTTCGAACCAGATTGACAGGAACACAAAGCCAATTGAAATTAGAGCATCAAATGTTGCATTATCTTAATAAATCATTCATATTTCAGTAACGCGTGTAACAATTCCAAAAATGTTTTTACAGTATGGGGAAAACATACGAAACAATATGTTTTTGATAAAAAAAATAGAAACATTTTTCTTTCAAACGGGAGGCGTTTGAAAGTTTTAGACAAATAAGATAAGATAAGATAAGATCTTTATTTTCCAGTATTCAACACAACATTGTATAGGAATACATCGTCAATAACTTTTAAATCTAGGTAAATATAAAAACACGAGAAATTTAAAATTTCAGACAAAATAAAAAATCTGAAACCACAGGTTTGAAATCAAAAATGTCAATCCCAATGAGAATTGTCCTAAAAATATTCTAAAACAAACAGGCCAACATGTCAGAATAAAAGCTTACAGACAAAACGCTACGGTTCTACGACATAAACTCTTCAACACTATACAGACATTTTTCTAGTAGAAATTCTCGCAATTGTTTCTTGAATAGTTAAATACATTTACTTTCTTTTATATATTTTGGCAATTTATTAAATACCCTGGGCGCCATAGAGGAAGAAGAGTTGGATGATATGCTAAATTTATTTGAAGGTACATGAAGGTGATTTTTGGTTCGGGTATCAAATTGATGTCTGACTTTATTGGAACTGAATAAAGTTCCTCTGTTCTCAAATGCACAGCTTTGATTATCAACCTGTGGAATCTCATCCGGAAAAGACGAAATAGTCATATCCATATGTTCGATAGTCAATGAAACGAGCTTTCAGAAACTGAAAAATAATTGGAAATCGGTTGAGGAAATCGAAAGTTGTGATCATTCAAATTTTATCGAAAAAATGCGATTTTACGTTTCATGTGTTGAGCAGTTTATTTTCCACTTCCAGCTGCTCTCTGTGATTCCCATTTCAATTTTTTGATGGGGATAATCGGATTGAGGATGAGGGGAGCAGTGGTAACTGTTATTTACCAGAAAATTTTGTCAGTCAGCTCCACTTTGCTCAACTCTCAGTTGTCAGTGGGAGAAATAGTCAATTTCATGTCGACCGATACCGATCGCATCGTCGGTTCTTGTCCCAGTTTCCATGCTGTGTGGAGTATACCGTTCCAAGTAAGTATTATTTCCTATAAGTAGGCGTTTATTTCAACGAATAATGTTGAACTGCTAGATCTCATAACTAAGAGATCTAGGATGAACAGAGTTGCCCCAATTGTCAGTAGGAGCGAGACAGTACTGTTTCGACCCACCAGGTCTCATCAGCCGCTCTCGGTCTGCTGACAACTGGGACAACTCTACGCTTCGGGTATATCAATCATTTCGAAGACGCAGGGTATAACATGAAGTTATAGTCATGTTGTAGCCATCTAGTGGCAATAAAGCTCTAAGGTAAGATACCGAAATCGCGACACACACTGTATGGCGCTGTCATCTATAGTCACACGTACAGACCCCTACGTCTATACGTTACAGAGTGGTACTACAAGTAAACCACTCTGCTGACAGATGGCACTACCTGATATGTTGATATGGGGAACCCTGTATCAGTTGAAGCAGGATTCAATCGTGCGGAAATAAAATGACCACACTGTATAAGATTTGTAGAAAATGTTGATTTCACTTTAGCGATCATCATGTAACTAGAGTTCCTAAATGTTTTGACGTTTTTGGAATATTAGAGTACGGACACTAGACAAGCAGTGACAATCAAACATAACCACAAACGATTTTGATATTGATATTGGGAATACCCAATAGTACGGCTATGTCCTTCATGAAGGAAATGCTACAGAGGCAGTTCCTTGAAACATGGCGGGACACACCAGGAATGAGACAATCAAAGCTCCATATAAAGGAACCTTCAAAAAGGCTCACGAGAGAGATCCTGTCACTTAATAGAAGGGATCTCAAGATGGTATTTGGGCTCTTAACTGGGCACAACCACCTCAACAGGCACCTAGAACTCATAGGGATCAAAGATGATCCCATCTGCAGATGGTGCTTGGAGGATGATGAAACATCATCACACATACTCACTGAATGCCCCGCGCTGGTTCATCAGAGGAAAGCTGCCTTTGGGAGCATTGTACTGCACCCAAAGGATGTGAAAGTGACTCAGCTGAGGAAGCTGCTAAATTTCGTCAAAGAAATCGGCATGCCCAGCTGATTCACAGGACAAGTGGGCGCACAATGGGCCCGACTGAAGAGGCCTGAGTGCAGGGGTCTACGCACCCGCCCACCTGTGCAGAGAAGAAGAAGAAGAAGAAGAAACGATTTTGAAGCAAATCATATGTTTAGCCAGACAAGGACAAGAATATGTTTTTCGCTTGGATAAAGGATCCTCGCATCTTCCTTCCTCCACAAGTCCTGGGTGGAGTACATCCATATATCTTTCTCTGTTATTGATTTTTGTATGAGAGTGCATAGCGTATCTTCGAGTGGGTAGAAGGATACAATAAGTTGATTAGAAAATTATTTCTTCTTGAAATATTGAATGATAAGGCTGAAGGACCTCAATGGAGGTCGATATCAAGCTTGTATGTACATATATACCAAGGAAATACATATACTATTCCCATGAAATAAGTCTCTTATATGTATTTGAAAACCTCGCAAATTTTGTGGCCTGAACCTATATTCCATGCCGGCCGCATCATATTCTGTTTCCATTTTTGTAGAATTACGTTATCCTATGGAAATTCGAATGGAGTGAATTGATTTCCCGTGTTCTCACAGTTGGAAACTGCACATACTTGCATCTTTCTCCTAATTCTCTCAATTTGTCAAACCTTTGAAATTTATGTCATGTACGTCCGTGTACTGTCAGTTCCCGCTTTCTCCATCAATTTATTTTCTGGTTATGTCTGATTGTCAGTTCTTGTCATAGTGTCCGTACTCTCATGTACAAAAAACCTCAAAACAGTTTTTTCAAGTATATTTAGGAACTCTAATGTATACTAGCTATGATGAAAATTTGGAAGATTCAATGGCGGAAATTTCGACGATAAATGTATTTTAATATGATAGTGCAAATACGGCACTTTATTATGCTGACATTCTTTGTCTTACGTTTAGTTTGAGAAAAAGAAATCCTATTAGGAACTGAATTGAATCAATTTTACAATATTCAGAAAATTGTTCATTGGCATTCACTTGTCTATAGATACTTTCACGGGAAATGTTCCTCAGATATCTCTGCTATCATTAAATCACTAACATTACCAGTCAGACATACTCGACAGGCTCAGTCAGCACATCCTTTTGTTGACAACCTCCAAATATGTCGAACAACACCAAAACTCGTCGGTTATAGAATGACAAAGCTTTGACATCATTTGCCAATGATGAAAGCATTCCTAAGAACTTGTAACCCCCAAAAGTTACAAGAAAAATCAAAAACCTTCCTCTTCTCTGTATCCTCCCTAGGGCCGCACGATGTGTTTCGAATATTATAGGAATTTCCTTTTTTGTATAAAAAATTCCATTAGCCGCTCTGATTTTATCATTATGATAGCGAAAAAAGTCACCCTTGTATATAGTATATAGAAAGTCAAATGGTGTTATCACTTCCTACTGAAAGGAGTTTCGAAGTCTCTCGATAATCCTACTTTGTAAAAATAGCGAGGCGTGGGAGAATCTTCCTAAATTTCCGAAGTTTCAAACCAAATTTACAGGCATCATGACACATTCATTTGATTTCACATTTTCATTTTCACAATTCTTTGTATTTTCGACTTTCAATGGTGAATTCATAAATGACACGAAGCCTTAACCTGAGAAAATCCTGTGATAATAGTTTTCCTGCAACCGACACAAAAGTCGTCCATTTTGATACCAAAATTAGCTCTTAAATTGACGTTTCTATTACTGGCACAAAAATAGGTATGTTGCTAGGCAACATATTTAGTTCCTAGGAGCTAAAGTTGAATTTTAGTTCCTAGGAGCTGAAGTTGAACTTTAGCTCCTAGGAAGTAAAAAGGATCTACTGGACGTCATCAAGAATAAACAACATTGTGGCGGTTGGTTATTTGGGTTGAGACGTGGCCGGCGTACCTCAGTGCTTCGATGCTTCGATATCGATTCACGTCGAGGTATCGATCGTGGGTTCGAGTCCCACGAACGCAGACTTTTTCTGATGGCCTAAGAAAGTGTTTGGGATCACACGTTAAAAGGTAAGGCCCCCGTAATTCCTTGCTCGCACAAGACTTTCGAAGACTTCTGAGGGTTGCTCGTAAGGGGGCAACCGAATGACGGATAGAACAATTTTAGAACAATTTTAGACGCATACCTGATTTGTTTCCGATTTCAGCAGATTTGGCATTTCATACCCATACCCATACCTTATTATAGTTTAGTATTGAAATTATAAACATCTCAGTTAAGTATTTTTGTTTTGATCAGGGAAGCCTTCAAGATTCAAATACTTGCGTGATCTGTATTTCATTCGTTATTCTCGGGATGGATAACTTGTTTTTGAATAATCACGGCAAGCAATTGTTTTTTTGTCTCAAACAACGATATTGTTTAGCTTCATTTGATTATCAAGTCAAACACAGTGTAGCATGGAGAGGAATAAATAAACTCTATTATCATTGTTGATATGCTCACTAACCAAACATTTTCCACGTCTTGTTCCTATAGCTGGCACTGGCGCGGTATTAGCCATTAGAGCACCTGGTCCATACACAAATATGTCACTCTGTGGTTGTACTTATATTGAAACTACAATTCGAACATCTTAGAAAACATAACCTGCTGTTAATGCAGGTAGAATATTCTCACCACATGGATTATTTGTCAATATTTGTTGCATTGCATACATATGGCACGGCATTGGTGGTGACTTCACATGTTTATTTGAGTTAATTGTTTCGGTTGCAGAAAAAATAGCATGTTTCATTCGGATCAAAAGTGACTTTGTTCGACTCGCAAATTTTGCTTTCGCTCGCCTTCGCTAACCGCTCCGCCTCGCAAATGCAAAATTCGCTTGTCAAACAAAGTGTCACTTTTGATCCTAATAAAACAATCTACTATTTTTTACTTACTTTTGGTACCTAAAATAAAACGAATGTTCGGATTTTCAAATAATCCTCACACATTGCAGATGTCAGTCCATGAAGAAAGCACAATACACTCACTCAACTCATGATATAATATCAATATATGCTCAATAAACTACAAATGCTCTTAATTTACAATATTTCCATTTGAAATTTGAACATGACACTCGTGACAGATCTGTCAAGATCAAGATGTTTCTGGACGGATTATTTGTTGCGCCCTGTCTCTTTTGCGTTCTGTCCCTAGATGCTTCTTATCAGCTATTATCGAACTCGTGCATCATCAACAGGACTTTTCAGATCCCGAAAGAAGGAAAACACATCCTTGAAAGTCTAGTTCAACTTCATAATGAGATTCGAAATGCATTTGAAATTTTTCAAGAAATTGTCCATCGCTCACGCCATCTATCATTGAATATGAGAACCCTACGTTTCGAACTCGCATTCAATTGTTCATATCGAGAGCTAGTCTGACGAAACAATTGAAGAGTGTGCACACCAATCTCAGTATTCACCACCTCTTTACCAATATTATTCAATGATTTTTTCAGCTTGGTGTCACCCTGTATTTGTTGTACACCCAAGTTGGCTTAGCGTTTCTAGCTGGCCTAGTCTTCAGCATCGTCCTCATTCCCATCAACAAATATATAGCGAACAAAATAGGAGAACTCAGCACCAAACTGATGCAGAAAAAAGATGCAAGGGTGAAAATTATCACCGAAATCTTGAGAGGAATCAAAGCCATAAAGTTGTATGTGTGGGAACAACACTTTGTACGAATGACAACAAGTAAGGAAATAACATAATAATTTTTAATATAAAAAGCTCAGTCATTCCCACACAATGTTCAAAAAATGAAAAACAATGGTAGATTTCGAGAAAAAACAACTACTTTCCTGGCATGTCACGCAGAACATTGAATTACATCCTCCCGAAATCTATGCATCGACTCGTATAAACGAAAACTGATACAAGTGATTCTTTCCTGAATGCCTATTGATTTCGATTTAGCCAGGCCGCGCTAGACACCTGCGGACCGGTTTCGAGCTCATTAACTCTCATCAGTGCAGGGCAGTCTCCAGTCAGCAGTCCTAAGGCCGCCGACTAAGCGTAGCCTAACCGAACAAAAATCAAGTCGGCATTATATTCCCGAAATCTACCATTGTTGTTTATTTTATGACTTTGAGATTTTCGTATTCATTCAATATTTCATTCCACTTTGAGCATTGTGGCTATTTTGTAGTTGAATTTTCAATATCTTGAGTAATTAAAAAAATGACCTATAAGAAAAACGAGAGTAACATGGTCAATCTCTGAAACTTACGAAGAAAAATGTGTCTGACAATCTGAACTTGACGTGATTAATTACATACCTGTTCACGTCAAAATTCGAATTTTTTCTCGAATATTGACAAAGACAATGAATAAAAACGAAATCAGTTTTTTGATTTTTCAAAATATTCCAGGAACGGTTGAAGTTTTTTCAAGTTGTAAAACTTCATATTGGTAAAGATTCAAATTATGCAATTTTTGCCTAATTTGATCAATGTTCTCTCTCATCGTTGGGAAATATTAATACTGTCCCTATAAGAAATCGACGGGACCCTGTATATTAAATGTTCACAAACTTCACAAAAAAATTAACAGGCATTTTATTCAAAATACGAAATTTCATTTCTACCAGATACTTGAAGAGTATTTATTTCTCTCTTATTTACTCAAAATTTCAATACCTAATATCTATATGGGGAAGTACCAATAGTTCACGTTTGAGTCCACTAATGAAATTACAAAATAAAACATTGAAGTGTATTTTCAATTTAAATTTTCTCGAACCAACCATGAATTTATACAAACCTAGAGATTTATTAGATCTGACATCGCTATATAAACTTAAAATTTGTTGTTTTATTCAATTTGTCCTATATAAATTGAAAATTTCGAATTTAAATTTCAATGAAATCAATTCATTACATAATCATGGAACAAGACAATCAAATTTACTAATAGCAAATACGTTCAAGTCAAATATCGGCAAACAATCAATTTTTCACACAGGAATCGTTCTATACAACTCATTACCAAGTCATTTGAGGAATATACAGGAAGCAACTAGATTCAAAATTAACTTAAAAAAATATCTGCTTCAGAGACTTTGATAATTCCATTTCTTATTTGAATACCTACTTATAAAAGACTAGGTTGATATTGCATGATTATTTGCATTTTTTTTTTTAACTTGTTATATCTTATTATAATTTCATAATTGTATGTATAACATTATGTATATTGTTTATGTATCCCTATTATAAACAACTATGTTTCTTGGGGCAATAAAGACAATCAATATTGGAAACTTCCCTATTCTGAAATTATCTCAAATAAACTTATTCCATGATCTTCATTATAATGTATAAAGGGTGTTTCAGAATTTCAAGTAAATTTTCTCAATTTAGAATCCATTCTATACTGTGAACTGGTGAGATAATTTGATATTCTCTGATGAAGTAAATGTCATCAAGATACAGTTCTCAACATACTAAATGGACCACTCATAATTTGACTTTGAGTCCGAAGAACAAAACTTACATAGGGTGTAAAGTGGAACCATTATACTATGGTCTACATTTCCAATGCTGCCAGAACTCGAGAAGTTTTTTTCTGATCAAAAGTCAATCATATGGGACCTCATCTCGGGACGTTTCCGTGATTTCTCCTTGATTGGCCATTGGAACAAAAATTCGATTTTTTTTCGAAAGTCTTGCATTTTTTGAATTTTTTCTCTAGAACTCCACTTGAGCTGAATATTAGAAAGAACTGTTCTCATGTTTTGTGGAGGACAATGAAAGACGAAATAAGCACCATTGTGGAATAAACAGGGTGATAAGAAAATAGGACAAAATTTTATTGCGGTAAAAAATCAAAAACGGTGACTAAACGTGGTTTTAGTCGCCGCCCATTCGATTCAGTATATTCAGAAACGGCCTTCTCGATTTCCATTGATTATATTAGACTATTAACTCGAGACGTTTCCGAAAATTTTCCGACCTGTTCTAACGGGAGCATTTCTTTGGGAATATATTGGGAAATCTAGAAGAAATAAAAAATTTCAAAAGATTGCATGCATTTTCTGATCGTATTTTTACTAGAAGTGAGTGTTCTTGCCTATACCAGGGGCGAACCCATCGAGCAACTCGATTTTTTTCGGGTTCTTCTGAAATATTTAGATAAACCCACTAAAAATACAACATTTCGGCCGCTTGCTAATTTTTCGTATCTTACTTCGTTTTTGAGAAAAATGGACAATACCATATCTCCGAACTCCATAAGAAAAAATAAAAATGCATATAGATCAAATATTTATTACACGTACATTATCATTTATGGAAACAAAAATGAGATATAATTCTTTACCCTCTAAAATGTAAACGATATTCAAGTTTTGTGAGAAATATTTTCTCATAATTATCTAAGTGATACCACAAGTGATACTATTTTGACGGAAATATTCGGCGATTGTTACGACAGCTTGGTGCCTAATAATTTCGCGAATGACATTGTTCATCAAAACTCTCAAGCCATAAGTGAGCGAAATTAAATCAGCAAGCTGGAGTATGTCAATCGACGGATATTTTCAGGAAAACTAGTTTCACGAGTTGTATCCGTATGATTCCATGATTGAGACAATAAACAAGCGCCTCGCGAGAGTTGCTCACATTGCATCCATCATTCTGGCTTTCAACAAAACTTATTTTGTTTACTTTTAGACACTTTAATTGATTAATAAATGATGAAAATAAAATTCATTTGATAACTAATTCCTATTTTGTTGATAGAAATCTCACCACAACTCTGAAACACCCTTTATAGAGTGACATTGAATTTGTCTAAATTTTCTGTCCTAATTTATGACTATTTCAATTAACCAAGTTTGAAACATATTTAATATAGTTCATTCATAATCTTCACAGGTATTTTATGTGTCTGAAGATGGCAGTTGAGCCGAGACTAGTCACACAAACTTGATTTGTCAATATAATTTTTGTGGTCGACCGTCTTTGTGCTATATTGTTTTTGTCTTGAAAAAATGTTGGACCACTTTGAGGAGGATGGATGGTTTCCATCATACTGATACAAGTTTTGTTTTGCTAGGCTTAGTCGGCGGTCTTAGGACTGCTGGCTGCACTGATGGGAGTCAAAGAGCTCGAAACCGGTCTGTAGGTGTCTAGCGTGGCCTGGCTAAATCGAAATCAATAGGCATCCAGTAAAGAATCACTTGTATCAGTATTCGTTTATACGAGTCGATGCATAGATTTCAGGAGGATGTAATTCAATGTTCTGCGTGGCATTAGCCAGGAAAGTAGTTGTTTTTCTCCCAAAATCTACCATTGTTGTTCATTTCATTGAGCATTGTGACTATTTCGCAGTTGATTTGTTAATATAATTTTTGTGGTCGACTGACTTTGTGTTATACTGTTTTTCCTTGATGAAACATATTTATTCGAATTAAATCAATAAACGATTGTACCCACATTTATCTTCAAACTCCAAATCTAGAATTGAGAGACCAAGAACTGAAATACCTGAGAGGCCGCAAATACTTGGACGCTCTCTGTGTATACTTTTGGGCGACCACCCCGGTGATCATTTCCATTCTGACATTCGCGACTTATGTCTTGATGGGCAACAAACTCACCGCTGCCACTGTATTCACGAGCATGGCCCTCTTGAATATGCTGATCAGCCCGTTGAATGCCTTTCCATGGGTGCTGAACGGTTTAACAGAAGCTTGGGTATCCATCAAAAGGATACAAAAACTTCTAGATGTAAGTATAACTCATTATTTCCTATATAAATGTTGAAAAATGCTGGATCATGATGGGCTAGTTATATTTTCATGGTACAGAATGATTCACCATAAATGTCCCCCCCCTCTAGCTCACTCTAGGGTCCCTTGATGGAAATTGACGTTAAAGTCATCTTTACAGGGTACGGACAGATCCTCGTCTCCTCTCACTCTAAAGTGTTTGTGAAACAGTTATATAGTTCCATCTTTATTCATTTCTGGGGATAAACACTAGATTTTTGACATTTGTTGTTTTTTAGGTTATATTGAGGTCACTGGCGTATCATACGTAATTTCTATATGGAATTCCTGATTCAACTATACCAAAATATAGATGAACAATCCTCTAGTTTTAGAGTTCACTATTCCAGCATAATTTTTGCGAGGTAGGGAACATATGAATTGTACTGAAAGCTCAATATATTTCACCAAAGAGACTGTTCTTAGCCCGTATACAAGGGTTGACTGAATTGACCAAAGAGACTGTTCTTAGCCCGTATACAAGGGTTGACTGAATTGACTGAATGAATTCTAATTTCAAACTGAGTATTACTTTATCTATATGAGCTGAATGAGCTCTGAGCCTTATGATTGAGAAATGGTGAAAACCTCGATGTGAGTATCTAAACTACTATACTCATGTAATGTGTGCTAAAAATATTTTCGGAAATCCAACTCGAAGATGAATTTATGGAGTGACTAATATCACACTATGTATAAAACTTCATCTAGGATGGAAAGTAGGCTGATAAAAAGTAATACGTAAGATGTGCAGGGAAATAAACCACCCCCATGTTATACATATGATTCTTCCGTCTCCCTTAGATAAAAAGTCATTTTCAAATAATTTATTGACGAAAGTAACAAACAAGTAGGTATACGCTTATTTTCACTCTTGCATCCTACATATCTTCTTTATGTGGTAGAGTAATAATTATTATATTAACTAATTATTTCGCCATATTGGATCCGTCATCTTGGATTTTTCAATTTTGACGAAACAATCATTATCTCCTACCCCGAAAACCCCCAGATATCAATTTTGAATAGTATCGGAACTTCATTACAAAACTTGTTCGCCATATGATCTTCCTCAACAAGTATATACCCTGTACATACCTATTATTGGAATTTTGAATGATTTTCTGTAGCGCTCATGGATGTGACGTGACAGCAATGTCAGGGATGCCAGTAGACAAAACTAAAATCTCTAGATCATTAAAAAAGAATGCAACTATGATCTGTCCGTACCCTGTTAAGATGACTTTAACGTCAATTTCCATCAAGGGACCCTAGCTCACTCATTTTTGAACCGATTTAAGAATTCGAAAAATAATCTGAAATGATTTTTCAGAATTTTTTTCCCGTTGCATCAGAAGATACAGGGTGCTCGAAACAAACAATCTACAGAGAAATACTTGATTTTTTCAAATGGAACACCCTGTATTTCATTGTAAGTTTAGATTATTCCTGAAGAGCTGTATGTATCACACTTGGGGTCTAGCGGGAATGATTACCGAAATATAGGGTGTTCAAAATCGAGATTTTTCAACTTTAAGATTTTTTTAATGATAATGAATAGTTTCGTCACAAAATCTCTGTAATCATTCTCGCTAGAATCAAAGTGTGATATATTGATCAAATCAGCACTCCAGGGAGAATCTAAAAATACAATGAAAAATAGGGTGTTTGATTCAAAAAAATCAAATAGTACCCTGTAGATCATTTGTTCCGAGCACCCTGTATTTTTTTATGTAGCGGAAAAAAACATTATCGAAACTCATTTGAGATGAAATTTGAAATCTTGAAATCTGTACAAAAATAACTGAGCTAGAGAGGGGGGATATTTATGGTGGATCACCCTGTACATGAATTTGCATTTTATATAAATGTTGAAGAATGCTCGGTCATCACGGGTACTAAAATAAAATAGAAAAGAAGAAAAGAAGAGAGGAAAACAAACAATGATCAATCTTTTTGCCAGTTTTATTTCCATGGTACATGGATTTGCAATATTTTATTTGCATGATATATAGGGTGTAGCTAAATAACACCGAAAAAATTTGAGGGGTGTTTCATTCTATTATTTTCGGTTCTATGGAATCCAGATTTCAAACTTGGAATTTTTCAGCTAGATGATTTGGATTTCGAGAAGTATTATGACAACTCCTTACTGGAAAATTCTGACGAAGAATCGACAGATATACTGATCATAAATGGAGGCTTTAGTTGGCTGAAACATTTGACATCTTTGGAAAAATCGCAGCTACATTCGTCTATCGAACAAAAATCGATCAAAGGAAAAGGGAAAGGAAAGAAATCTAGTTTAGCTATTGATAAGAGGAAATTTGCTGAGAGCATCGAGGAAAAAAATGGAGATGACCTCGTTTTCCAGTTGAACAATATTAATTTGAAAATTAAAAAAGTAAGCAAGATATATACGTCCATATTCTTCAAATCCAGTTTGAATATATATTTTTTTTCTGTTTCAGGGACAATTTATTGGAATTGTAGGTTCTGTGGGTAGTGGAAAGTCATCACTACTTTCAGCAATATTAGGTGAACTTTCCAAAACATCAGGAAATATTGTAATCAGTCAGATTGAGTCAGGTAATTATTGAAAACACTGCACAAGGTGGGTTATATGTTAAGTCTAGGGTAGATATCTCAATTGTAAATTTCGTTTAGGTAAATATTGAGAACATGAATTTTTGCAGACACTAAAGTGATTCTACTTTCAGAATCAGATGAAAGTAATTTTCTTCGTATAATATATGTATATTTACTACTTTTCAAATATCCCATTCATTAAACCAAGAATCTTTAGTATCCATTTTTATATTCCTTCCGTATTATTATTCAGATTCAGATTTATTCAGATACCATAAGTTACAGAAAATTTCGATATAATGTTGACATTATGATTCTGCTTCAAAAACGAGGAATCTACCTAAGCAATCGAAATGCTTGTATTGTAGCATTACGTTCTTTTGAGTGGTCTATGGATGAATTTGAAAAGTTAAAAATGTAAAAAAGATGAAAAAAACGACAACTTTAGAAATCTATAGCGAACACGAGAGGTGGAGGAATTATGGATATGCTGGAATTTATTGTGAGAAAGAGAAGCTAGAGATTTCAGCAACTTTTTTAGTTTCTATTTTTTTTGTTCATTTATTTCTTTCATGGTGCATTTATTATTAAAAAAATGTCAATATATTTCCAGTCTTATACTGCAATATGAATTGTTTGATTGAAACTTTATATTTATAGTTGTGACAATTGATTTACTCTTCTTCTTCTTCTTCTTCTTCGAAGCACTGGTGGGCGGGTGAATCCCCTGCACGTGGGCCTCCTTATTCGGGCCCATTGTGCGCCCACATGTTACGACATTCAGCTGGGTATGCCGACTGCCTTGGAGAAGTTCAGCAGCTTCCTCAGCTGAATCTCTTTTACGTCCTCTGGCCTCAAAATTATGTGGCCAAGGACAGTCCTCCTCTGATGCGTCAGTGCTGGACACTCAGTGAGGACATGTGATGACGTTTCGTCATCTTCCAGGCACCATCTGCAAAGGGGGTCATCCTTGATCCCAATAAGCTCTAGGTGCCTATTGAGGTGGTTGTGCCCCGTTAGGAGCCCTACTACCATTTTAAGGTTTCGCCTGTTTAGGAATAAAACCTCTTTTGCGAGCCTCTTCGAAGGTTCCTTTATGTGGAGCTTCGATTGTCTCATTCCTGGTGTGTCCTGCCATATTTTGAGGAATTGCTTTCGCAGCTGTTCCTCTATAGAGGACATTGCCAGGCTATTTGGTATTCCCAAAATTGGTTCCGGTCCGACCGCGGTCCGTCCGGAACCGATCTTTGCCAGTCTGTCTGCCTCCTCGTTTCCGGGTATTCCCGAATGTCCCGGGACCCACATGAGGCTGACTTTTCTTGATTTTGCCAGGTTTTCCAAGGCTTTTCTGCACTCGGACACCAATTTGGATGTGATCCTATTGGATTGCAAAGCCAGTATTGCAGCTTTGCTGTCCGAGCATATAGTGATTGGTCTACGACCTCTCATAATTAGGTTTTCTTGGACGCAGGTGAGTATTGCAAGTACTTCTGCCTGGAACACTGAGGCATATTCGCCCAAAGGAACTGAAATTTCTTTACCTGTTTCTTCATTGTATACCCCTGCACCTGAACCGCCCTCAAATCTTGAGCCATCCGTGTACCAGATTGACTCATTGGGAGGAGGCACGCCAGGTGTTGTGTCATTCCATTCTTCCCTCGTAGGGATGACAGTGTTTGGGGCTTTGTTGAAATTCAGAATTGGCAAGGTATTATCCCTTCTCATCATGAGGATGGGACAGTTTTCCTTTGCCTTATTCCATATGAGGGAGTGTCCATGATCTGCTTCTGTTCCGACCCACTGGTTTGCACCGTTGAGTCGGTAAGCAGTTCTCATGGCTTCGTATTGTATGAACAGGTGTAGAGGCGGCAGACCTAACAGAACTTCAAGAGCCCTGGTAGGCGTCGTTCTCAAAGCACCTGTTATTCCCAGGCAGGCCAGTCGCTGGACTTTATCCAGTTCTCTGTTGGTCTTGCCCTTATTGGTACTGGTCCACCATACAATGGACCCGTACGTAAGTGTTGGGCGTATTACTGCCGTGTATATCCATAGTAAGAAATACAATTTATATTTAGTATGTATATATAGGGCGCCATCCTCAGACGTTGAACTATTTTTTGAAAAACTTGAATATCTGCTGTCAAAACTTCCCGCTACCGCTTCTATTATCTTAGCAGGTGATTTAAATATCAATTATAGTGATATAGAATCCGCAAATACGCAATTGCTCAAAAATCTATTGAATTCATTCAACTTGCACATGCTGGTGACTGAACCAACTCGAGTATCCAAACACAGTGCTACTACTATTGATTATTTGTGCTCTAATATTGAGGATGTTCTCTCATGTACTATAATCCCTTCAGGAATATCTGACCATGAGGCAGTTGACAGTAGATTTAACTTGAAGATTACTGACTCGAGCAAAAAATTTCACAGTGGAAGACTATATAGCAGAACAAATTTCAGGAAGTTCCATGACCTATGCTTGAACACGAATTGGGCAGAACATATAAATTCAAACTTGAATCTACATCCCTTCAATCAATTTTATGAAACACTCAAAGCACATTTTGATAAAGCATTTCCAATCCTAAGAATTAAACAAAGAAAGAAAAAGCCGTGGATTACTCAGGGTATTAAGATTTCCGCTAAAAATTTGAGATGTCTACACTATATCAGGAAATTCACTAATGAGGAATGTTTTCACAATTACTATTCAACTTATCGATCCGTCTATAGAAAAATCGTGAAAATGGCTAAATCAATGCACTATAACGACCGTCTTGGTAGGGCAAATAATAAAACGAAAGAGTGCTGGCAGGTTATGAATGAGTTGAGAGGTAAAAGGAGGGTACCGCAGGAAGTAACATTGCAACCTAACGCGCTCAACAACTATTATTGTAGTATAGCAGAAAGCTTAACTAAAGACATCACTGATACTCACGATCCATTGATGTATATGGAATCAACCAACAATACTATCTTCCAACTCTCGAATACCAGTATCAGTGAGCTCAGGAATGTAATCAACGATATAAAAAACAAAAATGCATCAGGAATTGATGATATCTCTATTCGAATTTTTGAAAATCTCCCAGAGTCTGCACTGACAACCTTAGTTCAGTTAATTAACCATTCGTTCAATACTGGTACTTATCCGCAATTTCTTAACACTTCTGTCATTATACCCATTCACAAAGGAGGAAACAAAGACGAACCATCAAACTATCGCCCCATTGCGCTTATTCCGACACTCGCTAAGATTATAGAGAAAATAGTAAAAATAAGAATTATTAAATTTCTGGATTCCAATAATATATTGGCATCAGAACAATTCGGATTTCAACATGGGAAAAGCACAAATGATGCCCTCTTCTCCTTCATGTACAAGGTTTATGAAAACATCAATAGTGGTGAGGTTGCCGCTGCAGTGTTTTGTGACTTTTCAAAAGCCTTTGATTGCGTTAATCATGGAATACTGCTTCGGAAGCTTCATTACTATGGGTTTAGTGATTCAAGCTTGCAATGGATGAACTCATACTTGAATAATAGAAAACAACTGGTACGTATCAATAATGTCACCTCGGATACCTCAAATATTCATCATGGAGTACCTCAAGGTTCGGTTCTTGGGCCGTTGCTGTTCTTGCTATATATCAATGATATGACTAAATTGAATATATCCGGGAAAATAACTCTCTTCGCTGATGACACTACCATATTATGGAGTGATAGATCTGTGGAGACCCTACAGATTAAAATAACCAAAGACGTCGAAATTATCCATCAATGGAGCAAATCGAACCTACTTTCTTTCAATATTCAGAAAACGAACCTGATAACGTTCCGATGTGAGTTGCCTCTTTTATCTCTGGATCATCAAATTATAGAAAATAAATTGAACGCAAAGTTTCTCGGTCTCTTTGTGGACAAAAAACTGAAATTTGATCTGCATGTTTCACACTTATGCAATAAACTTGCATCAGGATGCTATGCTATCAGATTGATATCAAACGAGTTGGGTTATTCTGCTGCTATGACGGCATATTACGCTCTAATAGAATCCCATTTGAGGTACGGAATTGCATTTTGGGGAACTTGTAACAACCATAATTTACAGTCTACATTCATCTTACAAAAAAGGGCATTAAGATATGTATGCAAAGTTAGTTCAAGAACCTCTTGTAAAGAATTATTCAGAGAGCACAGAGTGTCAACAGTAGTATCCTTGTTTATTATAGAGTCGGTGTGTTTGATTCACAAAACCAGAGACAATTACGAAGTCGTGAACTCATGTTACAACACACGCCAGTCAGAGATGGTGAAGCTTCCCCGGCCCTGCAGTTCACTAATAAAAGATTCCATATTATATAATGGCCTGAAAATGTACAATCACCTCCCAACTATTGTTAAATCTATCTCGGATATAAAAAAATTCAGGAAGGAATTGAAAAACTTGTTAGTCCCTTATGTGTTTTATAATGTTAATGATTTTTATGAACAAGTATTTTAGACGAAGCCTTATGTGTGCACATGTTTGTGAAAAATTGTATTTATGTTGATAATTGTTGTATACATTATTTTATTATTTTATTTTTATAACCTATTCAGCTTTGTCTACAAGGATTACATTCTTAAGTGACAATAAAGCATATTTTGATTTGATTTGATTTGATTTGATTTGATTTGATTTGATTTGATATATCCAGTGAAGGGTCTTGGGTGTGAGACCCCATGTTTTTCCAAAGGCTCGTCTGCATGCCCAGAAGCAGCATACAGCCTTCTTAGTGCGGTTTGCAATGTGCTCATTCCAAGTGAGCTTGGAGTCTATTATAACTCCAAGGTACTTTGATGAGCTTTTATATTGGAGACACTTTCCCGAGAGAAATATCTCAGGAAGTGTTCCTATTTTGCGTTTCTTAGTGAATAATACCAAGTTCGCCTTTTCTGGATTGACTCTCAATCCACTGGTGGAACACCACTGTTCCACTTTATTGAGGGCTTCCATTATTGGATTCCCTAGCCGGTTCGCCGATTGATTTTGGGCCATTATTACCAAGTCATCTGCATATGCTTGCGCATATAGCCCTGGCCTATTCAAATCTATGAGGAGCTCGTCTACTACCAGGCACCATAGTAGTGGTGATAAAACCCCTCCTTGAGGACATCCTCTTGATACCTTGGCAGCAACCGACCTCCCACATAGTTCTGCTTTCACCACTCGCTGCGATAGCATGGCCCTAATCCACCTGGTCAAGGTTTGATGGACCCCATGTCTATCCGCGGCATGGCATATCGATTCAAATGACGTATTGTCAAATGCTCCTTCTATGTCTAGAAAGACTCCCATGGCTGAGCGTCCACCAGCTAGCACTCCATCTATCTTATGGACAAGATGATGGAGAGCCGCATCTGTGGACTTCCCAGTCTGATAGGCATATTGTTGTGCATGCAGCGGGTTTATTTGCAGTGGCACATCTCTGATGTATCGATCTATCAGCCTCTCCAGTGTTTTCATGAGGAAAGACGTGAGGCTGATGGGTCTATACGCTTTGGCATCGGAATAATCTGTTTTCCCTGGTTTCGGGATAAATACGATCCTAACCGATCTCCATTCCACTGGTATGTGGCCCAGAGCCAGACAGGACCGAAATATCTTCATAAGCAGGGAAATGATGGTGTCCAGTCCCTCTTGTAGGAGGGCCGGAAATATTCCATCTTCCCCTGGTGATTTAAATGGTGCGAATGTCTTTACAGCCCATCTCACCTTCTCGTATGTAACCACCTTTGACGCCGTTTGATAGTCCATGTGAGTTCTTCTCACTGGGCTCGTCCTCAAAGGTGGTTCGTTGGATATTTCTGAATCCGGAAAGTGTGTGGAGATGAGGTGCTGCAATGTTTCCTCTGCCGTTGTGGTTTCTCGACCATCTGACAGAGACAGCACGCCCACTCCTCTTCCCGGTTCTTTGGAGAGAACTTTGCATATCCTTGCCGCAGAAGAAATTGTGTTTATTTCTCCGCAGTAGGCACGCCAACTGTCTCTTTGTGCTTGCCGAATGGCTTTTTTGTACGCTCTCTGGGCAGACTTATATTCTTCCCAGTGTTGCGGTACGTTTGTGCGTTTCGCTTTGTTTAGAAGCTTTCTTGTGAGCCTGCGGTGGTTTTCTATTTCTGAATTCCACCATGGCGTTCTAGCATTGGTAGCTCTGTCTTTAAGTGGACAGCTGTTTTCGTACGAGGAAGTGATGGCCTTGTTAAGATACGACACCACTGTATCTATTTCGGCCTCACTCCCGTACTTTGATGGCAGACCCACAAGCCTTCCTTTGAGTTCCTCCCGAAAGAGGTCCCACTTGGTGGCACGAGGGTTCCTATATTTTTCTTTTTCTGGAGCGCTTATACCCCCCAGCGTACACAGAATGTGTCGATGATCTGATAGAGATTCATCTTGTGATACCTTCCATGAATGAACCTGGGTCAACATATCTCGAGTGCATAGAGTAAGATCTATAACAGATTGCCGCCTAGGCGTGAAAAAAGTAGGTACTGAGCCCTCATTTATGATTTCCAGATTACTGGTGGTGAGGAATTCGAGCAGAGCACTTCCCCTCGGGTTCGTGTCCCGGCTGCCCCACAGAATATGGTGGGCATTCGAGTCACAGCCGATGAGAAGGCCCTTCCCAGATTCCTCGCAATATCGTACTAACGATTCGATCTCCCGAGGCGGAGCAGCTGTCTCGTACGGAAAATACGCTGAGCAGACTACTACCTCCTGGGTGCGATCATTTAACGGCATGAGGATCTCTACCGCCACCAGGTCTCTGGTACAGAATCCTGGGACAGGGAAGACCTTCATGCCTTTTGTATAAATACACGCCCGGGGGCTGGTATCGACAGAGGCACAGTAATGGGCCGTTCCTCCGCCCATTCCTAGCCCTCTTATCTTGCCCTGGTATGTCCAAGGCTCCTGTATTAGTAGGATATCTATGTCCCACTCTCGGATCCTTCGGCATGCCAGGGCCGTTGGGGCTTTCCCATGTTGCAAATTAATTTGTAGGACTTTTACAGACATAAATTAACTTACTTGTTGTGGCTCCTCCGCAGCTTGGCTCCATCGCCCCCCTTCGTCGGCTCGGCCTCCTGTTATTGGTCTGACTGAGGTCCCCCTTCGGGTTCCTCAGTCACCACTCCGAGGTCCATTGGTTGGACCTCATCGCTCATAGGCGACTCTGACCGGTAGGAGATCCTCGAGGGAGTTCCTCCTACCATGTCGCTCCTGGAGGTATCGTCTGACGATCCTCCAGTTTCAGGTGTAGGAGCCCCGACCTCAGCAGTTCCTCTTTCACCCACGACTGACGTTTCTGTACGCGCCTCCTCGGCCACCGTTTCAGAGATCCCTCGTGAGGTTCCTCCGGTTTGGGGGGCCGAGGCAGCAGGCACAGCTCGCCTGGTCCGGGTTCCAGAGGTCCCTTGATCGGTACCCCTAGACACTCTTTGTTGAGCCATGGGCCCTTCAAGGATGGTCACAGTTGCCTGTGTCGCACTGTAGTAGGGCTGGAAGTTCATCAGGCTGAGAAGCCTGATAGACTCTTCGTCCATCCCCACCACGAGGCGAAGTCCTTGCTTCTCCTCTTTCCTCTCCCAGATTCTCCAAGGAGATACCGAGAGGCTTGGATTCTGCTTCCCCAGTCTCTTGAGGATTTCCTGGTTAGGCAGAAACCTTTTGCCAGGGATCCACAACATTGCCCGGCGTAGCTTGAGCCTTGTTGGGTCCATGACAATAAGAGTGGCGTCTTTCCAGGGTTTGATGTTCTTCAACTCCCTGGTGAGCCACTCCTTTGAAAACTCGTTGGTAGCAGTTACCAACAGCTGCCTTCGCCACAGTCGTGTAGACTGGAACTGTGGAGGTGCAGTACCCGCTGGGATATCTGCAATCGCATCCCCCACAGCATCGAGGAACTCTAACAATTGATCCTCACCGAAGCCTCCATCAGGCTGATCCTCTTGGGTGATGACCAACTGCAGAGCTTTATCTCCAGCGGCAACCTGTGCGTAGTCCGCCCTCCACTGGCCGGGGTTGCCGACCCTTGGTTTTTTGGACTCCCGCCCGGTCTCCACTGGAGTAGACCCTGGTGTCCTGCCTCTTTTGGAGGCAGGTGTCCGATCCTTCTGAGAGGCTCCTGTTGAGGATCCTCTCTTGGAAACATCGGAAGATGTGCCAGCCTCTGCTGGATCAGGAGCTCCCCCTGGAGGAGCCACAAGACCCCGCTGTTGCTCCCTCTTCCTCCGCTTCCTCGCGGCCCCACATACGTTGGGCTTTTTGACTCTTGCCCACTGGAGTCTTTCATCTACCGAGGTCCGTTGCCGTTCCTCGGCTTCTTCTAGGGAGGTCTGAGGGAGGTTAGGGGTGGGGGTAGGGAGAGGGTTTGTAGGAAAGACGGGGGGCTCCGTGGAGGAATCCCCCATCGTTGGGGTGTTTTCCGAGGTCACCGGGGTGACCTCGGGAGGGGTGGTGAATGAGAGCTCCGAAGAGCTACTCTGTGTGCCCTCTGATCCCTGAGTGGTTCCAGAGGAAGGTAAGGATGGGTTGGAGGGTCCTCTGAGAGTTCCCTCCGGTAAGGTAGAGGGTCCCGAATCGGTTCCCTCGTTTGGGGTCTGGGGTGTTACCTCAGTCCTCCCTGGTTTGTTTTTCTGTTTTTTGGGTTTCATATTGATCCCACGAGTAATGGGGAATTGACTTCGCCCCCTGCAGCGCCCCTTGCAGGGGGAGGGCTTTTACTTGGGGAGGTCGCCAGGTGTCCCCAAGGCTCCGTTCTCGATAGCACTCCCTGCTACCATCCAGTCCTCGGCACGGAATTCTCACACCTTGACTTGGGGGATTGTTTCGACTTACCTTGTCTAGATCCGCTGTGTTTAGTTTATGCAGGGCCACCTCGGGCAGGATGCGATTCTACATCGCGCACAGACGGTCTTGGGAATAGCTTCCTCGAAAGGTTTGCCCGACCTCCTCTGCTATTCCCCTGGAGTCGGTGGCCATGTAGCCGACCCCTTGACCCCTATTGATTTACTCATTTATGTCTCTAAATATATTTCATATTCTCTTTCTATGTGTTAGGATAGAATGATTAACGATTGAATCTTTTGTTTTTTTTTCACTAAAATGTAATACTGAAAAAGCTATAAGATATTCTATGATTTTTTTTATATATTTCTATACACATATTGAATATTGAATCGAGTTTAAGCTATCAATTTATGACAGGTAGTACATTTTGAAAATTGTTTAGTTGTTCATTCTACTTCAGAATACGAAATAGTTTGTATTTATTATAATTATTGTTATACAGTTATTGTGTAAATTGATAGGTCTATCTTTATTTCGCATTTTCTGTATTCGAACATTACCCAGTTGGTTTTTATTCATATATTTGATTCATTTGTGAATTCATTTTTTCAAAAATTTTTTTGTTGTTCTGTTCACAAGTTAGTATCCTCTAAATTATTTGTTCCTAATATTCTTCAAATAATTCAATATCAGTTATTCATAATTACGATAATTGATGATACTTTTGTTATTTGAATTGTTTAGGATTTGGATTCGTAACACAACAACCCTGGTTGCAGAGGGGCACTATTAGAGACATAATTCTCTTCGGCAAGCCATATGATGACACCAAGTATAAATCGGTCCTCTTCGCGTGTGGATTAGAAGAAGACATGCAGATATTACCTGCTGGTGACATGACAGGTGAGATTTCAATGAAATTTCTTGTTTAAACTAGGGATCGACCGATATAGACATTTTAGCCGATACCGATAATCGGCCGATACCGATATTTCAAATACCGATATATCGGCCGTTAACAAGTTTTCTCTGAAGCTGGTAATATTTATGATGCAAAACGTAGCAGGCTAATTCCTGATAGGACAGAAAGCTTATTGTTTTTGCATCACAACCTACCAAAACTAAGTTATCAGTATTAATCAGTTATTTTTGTATTTTAGTAGAGTGAAATAATTTTACCTCACAGTTGCAATCCGCATAGGGTTTTATTCTATTAATTTTTAATTACTAGTCAAAGAATTTAATTGATTTTCCGTTACATACTTTTTATTGGTAATAAAGATATATTTTTGATGGAAGTGTATTTTTTTCATTCATTCTTCAAATTGATTTTTTTCCCAATAGAAAAATATATCGATAAATAGGTTTTTGATATCGGCCGATACGATAATCGGCCAATGAGGCCGATATCACCGATAGGCCGATACAAATATCGGTATCGGTCGATCCCTAGTTTAAACTGCCGAAAATTGCGTATAAACAGAGAACTTGGGGGTAAAAGAGCCCCAAGCCTATAACCTCTTTCCTCAGGTGGCTATTTCTGGATCAACGTTTATATGAACTTTTTTTACTATTTATTTATTTATTTATTGAACAAATAACTTCCAGACAGAATAGGCTCTGGTATAAGGAAGTACATAATTATATACCTATAGGTAAACATAGCATCATTCAAAATATATCAACAACTGTAAATTGGCAAACAAAGAATAATATCTGTGGCTGCAATATGTGGGACAGACTTCAAGAAATAATAAGGCGTCTCAAAAAAATGGAAAAAGTTCCCATACACATTGGTCGTAGAAGAGGCTTTGTTTGCGGGATCGGGATACAGTCTGTTGAAGTTGAAAATAAAAAATATTTCTCCTTGAAAGTGACACTTTGTTTCACAAGCGAATTTTGCATTTGGGAGGCGGAGCGCCCACCAAAGCCGAACAAAGTCACTTTTGATCCGAATGAAACATGCTAATTTTTCGCAAACCGAATAAATTAACTGAAATAAATATGTGAAGTAACCACCAATGTGACTTACTTGACAGACTATGATCATATTTTTATCATAATAATATAGGTAACTAAATAGAAGCAAGACCTCAGACTACTTCACATTGTTATTTACTTTGATACAATTCGTGTTGATATGCATCATCAGATACTACATGCACAAATTCAATACCATACCCAAAACGAGGATGCCGCGCCATATGTATGCAAAGCAAAAAATAATCCGTGTGGTGAGAATATTCTACCTGCATTCACAGATCAGGTTTATTAAATTTTCAAGGATGTTCGAATTGTAGTTTCAATATAAATACAGACTGACCCATTTGTTCATTCTATTGAATCGATGGATTCATTTGGACCAGGTGTCTGCCCTAATAGCAAATACCGCGCCAGTGCCAGGTATAGGTAAAAGAAGTGGAAAATGTTAGTTAGGTTAGTGAGCATATCAAGAATAATAATGATTACTCATTTCTCTCCATTTTCCACTGTGTTTGGCTCGGTAATCTAATGAAGATAAACAATATCGTTGTGCGAGACAAAAAAGTATTGTTGGCCGTGATTATTCAAAAACAAGTTTTCCAATCAATCAGATCCCGAGAATGAATGAAATACAGATCAAGCAAGTATCACTATAATTGTTTGTATCGGTAGTATTATGAGTAGATTTGACTCCCAGTGACACCGTTATAAAGGGTATTCAAGTGTGATTTCTGAGAAAAAAATATGGGTGGCGATGAAACTTTTCGAAATTTTATTCCGAATAAGCAACGTTGTAGAAAGAAGCACCAACTGTTGAAACTCGTTAGGTACACTGTTTTCTTGAAAAACGAAGTAACTAAATTCAACCATTCAAGACATCTGTTCATATTACAACAATGATAGATATTATTTTGGCATTGCGGCACTATGCCAGTCACAAAATAGACTAAATTTTGCCACCACGATAAGCCATAGAGGGTGAACATAAGACAATTCTATAAATTTTTGCAACTTCAACGCCTGTATCTCGCAAACGATGCCTTTCACGAACTCTGTTTGTGGAAACTTTTTTCATTTTCTTGAGTCGCACTATCACCTCTTTATGTGCGTGCATCATATTTGAAACATCCTGTATGATATCAGGGCACCCTGTTTTCTACATACAGGGTTTCCAAACTTAAGTCGGCACTATTGCTTTGTTATTATTCGAGCGTCAAAGTAAGTTAAACTATTCTGAACAAGAACTGTCCTGTCCTATAAACTTTTATTCAAAATTTGTAAAAGACGAAGCTATCAACGATTTCTTATTACGACAAGAAATACCTCGACCATTCTCCACTGACAGAATCACTTTAAAAAATCATCGATATCTCAGTCATTTTTGAATTTAGGATAAAAGATTATGGGACAGGTTTTGATATTTATGTCTCGTAATCTGCGGAAAAAAAAACAGTTTGCCCATATAGCTGCCATATTGTAGCTCCAATAATAACCAAGTGAGCAATAGTGCCGACTCAAGTTTGAAAACCCTGTATATTAATTCAGGTGTAGGGGAGAGTGGAACAACCCTTTCCGGTGGCCAGAAAGCTAGAATTGCGCTAGCTAGGGCGGTGTACCAAGACAAGTCCGTGTACATCCTAGACGACATAATGTCTGCAGTCGATATCAGGGTTGCCAAACATATCTTCCAACACTGCATCATGGGATTACTGAAACAAAAAACGAGGATCCTGTGTACCCATCACGTCAGGTATTTGGTACACGCTGACAGGCTAGCACTGTTAGAGAATGGGACATTGAACATTGTAGGTAAGTCGATATAAACATTCAATGAATATTTCCCAGCGAGCACAAAAACATCTCAGTGATGTTAAAAGTACGAGATTTCGAGGCACTGAGCCTCCACTGCGATGTTCTGTTCACACATGAATAGAACTTTTATAGAACAGCCAATGTCCGCCGCAGGCGGCAATTATCGAGATGTCCTTGATATGTCACAAAACTACCTTCTCCCTAGTTCTTTTTAAAGCCTTTTCATGGATACAACAAAACATTTTCAACGCGTCTTGCGCACATTAAATCGCTGTAGAAAAAACATTTTCGAGGTACTTTTCTGAAGCCTTTTGTCAAAATGAACTTTTGCATCAGGATTCCATTTCCCTTGAATGAAAAAATGCATTAAAAATAGATAGAACATAAAAATATTTTCTTGATATGAAATTACCTTCTTAATCGGTTTCTGAGTAGTGCTTACTACGCACAGACATATAATTGGAAATAGGCTTCCCAATTTTTGAAATGTTCTCCACAATGCATAATTTTGCAACTGCGGAGAAGCTGAGTATTGATAAATTCGTATTTTTATATATTGATTACACTGAGGCACCGAACAACACATCTTGCATCTGATGGTCGTTATTACAAACTGAATAAGTCTTCTAACACAATAAACTTAACCAAATTCCTTTCTGTTCGTTAGCAGCGTGATGTAAGCGTGACACGCTGCAAACGCGAATGCCAATTGCGAACAAGAAGAACAAAATCGAAAACAAATCAGAATTCATCGTATTGTGACGTAAGCATGAGACGTTGTGGTGGGACAAACAAAGAAAGGGCACAAAAGAACAGAAACAATACTTTCAATATCCTTCTAAGACCTCTTTGGGAAGTGCATATTACGCCTTAAAAAAACATCCTCATGCCTACATTTCTAAAACATCCCAAAACATCCCAGGGATACTTCTCAGTAGGCAAACAAAGAAATGCCACAGAAGAACAAAAACAATACTTCAATATCCTTCAAAGACCTCTTTGGTCAGTGCATATTACGTCTCAAAATAACATCTTCATGCCAACATTTTCAAAACATCCCAAAACATCCCAGGGATGTTTGTGCTCGCTAGGTTACTTTTATATTGCTAATTACTTAGCCATCTCTCTAAAAATCATACCTGCTTAGGTAGGTGTTAGTCAACTGAGGAACAAAAAATCATGTGAGATATATGAGTAGAAAAAAAATCGATGTTACACATATATATAAATTGATGTTCTTTATTATCCCTATTTTGTCCGGAATCATCAAGACAGTCATCTAAATGATCTTCAATAGAAACAAAGAAGATGATCTATCCCTGAATAAGAATTTCCGGGCCAATATTTTGGCAGCAATGTGTTATTGAGGCTTGCAACTCTTCAAGGTTGTTATTGTCTCTCTGGAATAATTCGTCTTTCAAATATCCAAAAAGGCAGAAATCCAAATGCGTCAATTCTGGAGAACGTGTTGGAAAAGAAGGATTAACTCCTCGACTTATCACACGGTTGTCATGAAATTCTTGTAAATGTTCTAAATTTGCACGTGTGGTGTGAGCAGTGGCCCCATCTTGCTGACAATAGCCAACTCGAATTTCTTCATCATCATGGTGATTGATGAATGGTTCTAACATCACTTGTCTGTACATTTCACCATTGATAGTGCCATCGAAGAAAATCTGTCCATATATTCGCCTACGAGAAACTGCTAACCACACCCCAATTTTTTGAGAATGTAGTGGAGTGAAATTGTGGGGATTCTCAGATCTCCAAAACCTAAAATTTTCTGAGTGTACGTATCCGCCGACAGATGAAACCAAGCCTCATCGCTGAAAAATGTTAGGTCCAATAGCTGGTCATCGTTGAGATTATTTTGGAACCATTGGCAGTACTCCAAACGACGTGGGATATCTGATGTGGGCTTTCAAAGAAGATTCTCGAAACTGTACATTAGGATATTTCGCCAGGTACTCATCCTTGCAGGCTACTACCGAGTAACTCCATCCACCATTGATGAATGTGCCATTTCGACAATAAGACATTACAATAAATGTATTCTGCTCCGAGGAATAAGCCATCCCTCTTTTCAACACGACAATCACGAAGTAGAAAATAGACTCGCTTGAAAACTTTAACGAAAAACTGACAATTGTGAGTTTATCAGCTATGACAGTATAATGATTGATGTCAGAAACTAAATTCGAATGTGTGAATCTCCATAAATGAAAGGCGGCAAATGGAGAAAATATTTCAACGGCTACTACGATGTTACGATCATTTATAGAAACCCTGTGTATACGAGTTCTTGGAAGTTTCCTGACTTATTTCGAAATTCTATTCTATGTTCTTCTTCTAGCTATGACATATAATGTAATTCGTGAAATATGAACACAATCCGTATTCACGAATCCCTCCTACTTTTTCACATATTATGAAATGCAGATACAGATTGGTTGCATCTCTATATTCCAGCAGAACAAACCTGGAATCTAAGTAGGTATCATGATCAATTCATATTTTATTCGAGTCCAAGACTTGTTTAGTTCTTAACTTTCTATGATAATTACGAATAATATCTGAAAATCAATATTTTCACTGATCAGACTGTTTGACTTGTTCACCATAATAGACAACAAACAAAATGGCTGGAATGGAATTGAATTGACTTTTGACAATTGACAAGGTTACTTTGCCGTAGAAGGAAAAATATTATCCCCTTATATCCCCTATACATGTTAGCTACGTTATAAGGTGGTGAAACGAAAACGTTGCACAATAACATAACTAAAATAACTAAAATCAACATATCACAATATTATCTAATGATATTGATTTCAATATTGATGCATCGTCTCATGAATGTTTTACTTCATGATATTATGTTTGATACTTCAGAAGGATTTTATGTCAATGTTATTTCAACAATATCACAAAACTAACTGAAAAATATTTTTGTTATGTATCATGTTTAGTGGGTATGTATCTATCTATCTATCTATGTCATTTGGTGTTTTACTTCTCTGATTCGATTTTAGGGAAGCCTGCAGACGTTTTGGGAAAGATAGATGACACCCTTCCTGTCGACTTGGAACTTGAAGATAGCATTCAGTCCACTTCTACGTCCACCACGAATTCCGGGCTAGCTGCCTCCATTAAAGTTGATTCACCCAATTCCTCGAACGATAAAGACGATATAATGTTGGAAGAGTTTAGTGAGAGGGGTAGTCTCGAGATAGGGGTTTACACTTCATATTGGAAAGGGATTGGTCATGCTGTCAGCTGTCTCATTTTGGTGTCTGTCACTTTGATGCAGTTTTCCAGAAATATGACTGATTGGAAAGTATTATTTATTATATCAATTGTAAATGTTTGCTAAGTGATTGTTCCTGGTAGCCTTGATCATTTATACTAACTGGACTAGATGATGCACCTCCTCGTGAAATGTTAGAGCCAAATTTGAACTTAGTTCTTGACTTGTCTCTAAGCGGTGCTAGCGATAGAAGTCTGCTCGAGTCCATCTATTTTATTTTTGATACAGTAAAATCGGTAACTTTGATGGATTCAAAAAATAAGAATATTTCGATTTGGCCCTGACATATCTTACCTTGAATATATTCTGCATTACCGATCGCTACCCTTCGCTATCTTTGCCATCGGTTTGGAGAAAATCTAATAACCACCAATTGTCTCGATGGTGATAGCAACTGGCCAGCTGGGTCGCCAGACCTCACCCCACTTGATTTTTATTTGTGGGGCTACTAAAAACAACAGGTTTATGAGTCGCCAATTGTGAATATGGAAGAAATGAAAGAGAAAATCACAAATTTATGCGCACAAATTGATCGCAACGTGATACATAGGGTCACAATGAACGTTATCAAAAGAGCTAGGAAATGTTTGTAGTAGAATGGACGACATATTGGGCAGTTGAGGTTACAATTATTTTCTTTTAATTCGATTTCCTCGGCTCAATATACTTCGTGATTCTGATAATTATCAACTACCTTCTTCAAATAGAATGCCTACTATTAAAAGACAATTTTGGACCACCGTGTTAGAAATTGATTTTTTTCAAATTCAGGTTGTTTCGATAGCCCTCGTGATTATATAATTACTGAGATAGAGTCATGATTTTCCCCAAGTATCAGTTCTAGGGATACAGGATGATGAAGTGGAGAAATTCAAATAGTTTTTTGTTTGCGATAACTCGATCAGAAATGATAAAATTTTCTGCATTCAAATTCGGTATATGGTTTAATCTTCGATTGAGTCATTTCTTGACTAGAAAGTTGTTACGTGATGCGTAAAACCTTGTTGTTGATTAATACCCACGCCACTGGTAGTCGTACTTCTCATATGTTGAATCAGCACCCGAGAGCTGCTGCCATCTAAGCTAAGATTTGGAACCAACTTTTGGTTGAATTCGAAATGACTCGAGAACATTGGACATAGTAAAAACGACCATGATATCCAACGCAGTGAATGAATAATTTTACGCTGTATGCAGATAAAATTCAAAAAATTCACTTGTCACTGAGAACTGAAAAGTTTCCAGACAGATACGACTTTGCTTTTCAAATAACCATTTTTTATGTAGAAAACGGGAGCAGATTCGGTCCCGAAACGTCCAAAGATAAGTGAACATTTGATATTTTTTTATATACCTTTATTTCTCTTCTCCAAACTTTTTTTATTGCAAATTGTCAGTGACAAGCTAGTGAATTTTTCTTTTAGGCTCTCTGATAGGAAAATTCTTAAAACGCAGTGACATTTTGGGGCAAATCATCTGATTTGTCCTTACTACACGTATATTGAAATAATATTCATATTTTTATTTTATAGAAACGAGGAGAGAAAATCCCAAATAATTTTGAATAATGAATGTAACACCTCCTCGATTAACCTACGGACAGTATTTAATTGAATTTTCATTGATAATTATGAATATTACCAATACTCAATTGAGAAATACTGTCTGTAGGTTAATCGAGGAGGTGGTACATTCATTATTCCAAATTTTTTGGGATTTTCTCTCCTCGTTTCTATAAAATAAAAATATGAATATTATTTCAATATACGTGTAGTAAGGACAAATCAGATGATTTGAAAAGCTTCAAGACATATTATACGACTTCGCAATTGAAAAAATCTCTTCATGTTGAAAACGGGAGCAGAATCGGTCCCGAAACGTCCAAAGATAAGTGAAAATTTGATATTTTTTCTATACATATACCTTTATTTCTCTTCTCCAAAAATTTTTCAATACAAATTGTCACTGACAAGCTAGTGAATTTTTCTTTTAGGCTCTCTGATAGGAAAATTCTTTAAACGCAGTGACATTTTGGGGCAAATCATCTGATATTTGTCCTTACTACACGTATATTGAAATAATATTCATAGTTTTATTTTATAGAAACGAGGAGAGAAAATCCCAAAAAATTTGGAATAATGAATACTCAATTGAGAATTTATGAATTATCGAATAACTAATATTTCTGAAGTTCCCAATCGTATTTCAACACATGGCAACTGGCCGTTCGAAAATTACCGTGGCATTATTGATGACCAAAAAATTCTTGAAAAATATGAAATTGAAAGGTATTCGAGTGATGATTCTATTTAAGAAATAAAAAAAGATAGTCCACTCGTCTATTATTTAATCAAAAGGCTATCACATTTCAAGCGTAGTCGGTCGAATTTGGAAATACCCTGTATATCAATAAAAATCATGGACGTTTTCTATTTTTTGGTTAGGTGGTTGGCACATTGGGTGACGAATGCCAAAAACATTTAAGAATTTAAAAAAATTAGTTCACTCGTCTATTATTCAATCAAAAGGCTATCACCTGTCAAGCGTAGTCGGTCAAATTTGGAAATACCCTGTATATCAATGAAAATTATGTACGTTTTCCCTTTTTCGATTAGGTGGTTGGCACATTGGGTGACGAATGCTGAAAACAATGCGACAAATTCCACCAACACTACTGGTCTCGTAGCACAATTAGATATCCCGATATTAGGCACGTGGGGATCAGGAGATCCTGTGGTCAACTCGTACTTGAGAGTATACATCGAGTTCGCCCTGGTGAATACTCTTTTCACTCTGATAAGATCGTTCGTTTTTGCATACGGAGGCGTAGTGGCAGCCACGAAATTCCACAAACTGCTATTGAGATCTGTGATGAGGGTGAGTTCAATATCTTGACATGATAGTTATTATTTCATTAGCCAACCCGGCAAACGTTGTTTTGCTATACATATACATTATATTCTTTTAGTTGAATATAAATCAACACTTATTATTTTATGTTCTACTTCGTTTTAGTTCGCCAATCTATCTCTTCAATTTTTGAAACTACCATATATTTTCTATTTCCTTATAGTTTGGCTATCTATGAAAGCGTGTTTTTTTACTATTTATTACAATGCTCATCGTTCGCCATATCGGATTCTCAATTTTGAAAACCCCCAGATCATAATTACAAAACTCGTCCGCCATATTGGATCTGCCATCTTCAATTTTCAAATTTTGATGGAAGAATCATCACCTACGACCCCGAAAACCTCTAGATACCAATTTTGAATAGAATATCGGTTCATAATCACAAAACTCGTCCGCCATATATTGGATCCATCATCTTGAATTTCCTTATTTTGACGAAGGAATCATAATCTCCTAACCCCAAAACCCTCAGATACCAATTTTGAATAGAATCGGACCATATATAGTTACAAAACTCGTCCGTTATATTGTATCCGCCATCTTGAATTCCCAAATTTTGACGAAAGAATAATAATTTTCGACCCCGCAAAACCTCCAGACACCAATTTTGAATAGAATCGGATCATAATTACAAAACTCTTTCGCCATATTGGATCTGCCATCTTGAACTTCTAAATTTTAATGAATAGCATCGGATCATAATTCCAAAACTCGTCTGCAATATTAGATCTGCCAGCTTGAATTTCGTGATTTTGACGAAGCAATCATAAACTTTGACCCCGAAATTCTTTAGATACCAATTTTGAATAAGACCGGACCATGATTACAAAACTTGTCCGCTATATTGGATCCGCCATCTTGAATTTCCAAATTTTCACGAAGGAATCATAATCTTCGACCCAGAAAACCCTAAGATATACCAATTTTGAATAGAATCGGATCATAATTACAAAACTCGTCCGCCATATAGGATCTGCCGTCTTGAATTTCCTGATTTTGACGAAGGAATCATAATCTCCGACCCCTAAAACCCACAGATATCTATTTTGAGCATGCGATCATAATTTCAAAACTCGTCCGCCATATTAATGATTTGGATAATGAAAAAGCACCAGGCTTTGAAACTGGTCTGATCCCCAATAACTGTTCAATTGCGAGAGTTCTACTAATTTACAAAAATGGAAAGAAATATTCCATGAATAATTATTGAAAAAGTTATGCATAAAAGGTTATCTGATTATTTAACAAAAATTAAATTCCTTTCTGATGGTGCGGGTAGTTTGAATGAGTTATTGTTGTGCAACAATCTTTCTCATTTAAACCAGTTTTTTCTGAACGTTGATAAATGTCATCTGTTTTCGGAAAGATACGGATATAGAGTTGGGACACCCTGTATGTATTTCGAAGTAGAAAATGTACTATAGGTATATAAGTACATCAGGTACCACCGTGTATAAATCTGATTTTTTTTTTGTAGGGACGATCAGTATTCTTCGATATTACACCAACAGGAAGAATACTGAACAGATTTTCTAGTGACACTTACACCGTAGACGACTCTCTACCTTTCATACTCAACATTTTACTAGCACAACTTTTCGGTCTCATAGGTGAGCACAACGTTATGTTTTTTTGTGATTTCGAAATAAAATATTCATCATTATTACCACCACTAGCTATAAAACCTACCATTATTTACTCCTTCAATCAATGTATAAATTCAAAATATTAGCATTCATTCATTCAGTGGAACAGAATTATAAACATTCCAATTTAAATTTCAAAATTATTGCTATTATACATTCACATTCAACTAGACAAACAGACATGTTTTCTCTCATTGAAACCTAATCTGAATTTGCCAAGAGATCTATATATTATAACAATGGATTATTACTTTACAATGAATTGCCAACAAGACTTTGAAAAAATATCAGTACCAAAAAATTCAAGAAAGAACTTGTCATGTCATCCATATAGAGAACATATAACATATCAATTATTTTAATCATTCATTCACTCAACGAAGGATCAGCTCAAACTCTGAGAATTACTAGAATATTTATCGTATACCTATACTTACTACATTTTGAATGTAATGTAATACATTATGGATTATTTTTTAATATTCCCTGTTATAAACATATACGTCAATTGTTTCTTGGGAATAATGAAGATGATGCTGATGATGATGATGAATGGGTTTTTCAATTGGGACGGGCCGATGTTGGCATCCTGTGGCGCCCATGTTGTTTTGGTGGCGTCTGTTTAATCTGGTGTTTTTTATTCAGTCCCTCATGCCTTATCACCATGACAAATTACACGACTGACCAGGCGTCCGAATGAAAACTTTATTATCGAAATGAGTGTTCGTTAGTTCGTTAGAGCGTTTGGATGACTGGTATGTCAATAGGTAAGCAAAATTGCCGTATATGGAACGCCGATAACCCACACGAGCTTCACCAAAAAAGTTACTGTCATTGATCCGTACTTTTTTGAAAATGGCGTTGGTGAGGCCATCACCATTAACGGCGAGCGTTACAAAACGATGCTCTGATTTCTTTTGACCCAAATTGAACGATATGGAGGTAGGTATACGATATGTGGTTCCAGCAGGATGAGACTACGTACCATACAGCTGACGCCAAGATGGACATTCTGCATGAACGATTTGATGGTATGGTGAGGTGAATGGGCCACCAAGATCACGCGATTTGACACCGTTAGACTACTTATTGTCGGGTTTCCTGAAGTCGCAGGTTTATGCAAATAAGCCGCAATCGACCAATGCCCTTAAAGCCAACATGACTAATGCTATCGCTCAAATTCAGCCGAATCTATGCACCAGAGTCATTGGAAATTAGACCATTCGGATACGTGCCGTGACAGACCTTTAAAAGATGTTATATTCCATACATAATAGCATACATGAGCCTCTCAGCTTGTTTTATTTAATTGCATTATCAACCCGTCCTTAATGAAAAACCCATTAGTAGATATTTATCAATAAGGACTTGAAAAGAAGTGCTTTCATAGTGACAATATGTTCATATTTCAATTTTACAGAACTAAAATGATTGTAATGTATTGCTAGTGGTGAAAAAAATGTAATATACACCTTGGTAGTAAAGAATATTATTACCACGTGACCTTATTCCCCTCGGCTGAAGCCTAGGGATATAATCTTGGTCCCTGGGTGATACTGATATTCTTAACTACCTTGGTGTATGAAAAACTATTGTCACTTCATATTGGAAGATTGTCGATTGAATGTAGTAACTATAAATTTTGATTTTAGGCAGTCTTGCGATAACGATATATGGTCTGCCTTGGATATGTTTGATACTGGTTCCGTTGATACCGGTATATCATTGGTTGATGAGTCATTACAGAATGACATCGAGAGAACTGAAGAGAATATCGAGTGTGACACTGTCGCCGGTTTATAGTCACTTCAACGAAACGCTACAAGGTATAATAGTCACGAAAAATATTCATTATTTTTTGGTGAATTCTCTGTTTCGAGAAACCATCTACTCTTTGCATTCATTGAAATAGCAATAATTGAAGAAGTCGCTTCATTGTTTGCTTCACCAACCTGATCAACTTTTCCATATCTACTTTTCATTTATCACTATCGATTCTCAACTAGGCTTGACAATATTAACAGCTTGTAGTTAATGCATTTTTTTAAATAATGACATTGTTATCAAAATAACTATCGAGTCGTAGGCAAGGTGTTTAAAATTAATGTCATCAACGTAGTTAAAGCAGCAAGCTTGACTTTATCAATCGACGAATATTTCTAGGAATAAAAGTCTCAACAGTGGTATTCGTATTCTTAGAAAATAAGGTTGTACGTATATTTAAGAGAACTTTATTTGAATATTCACTACAGTCTATTTTCCTCTTTAGCAGTACTCTAGTGGAACAAAAAAGAACGTGAGCTGTGAAGATTGAAAATTATGAGTGTTGGAAAACAGATTTGACAAATTTTATACTGTCAGTTCTAGTATATGTCAAAGACTGCCACTCATCTACAAGGTGTTGAGTCCTGATTTTCAGCTGAACTTCGAGTGTGCATAGCGTTGCTTTTCCAACACGTATTACTATTTCATGATTGAATACGACTTTAAATAATAATGCCGTAAAATAAAATGAATAAAATATAGTTATTCCAAGAAAAAAACGAAGTTAATTGGTCACACGTGAGCCAATTCGGCTTCTGTATTGGTAGAGCAAAGTTGCTAGTTAGCACATAATGTCGCATCAAATCAGGAGATAGTACTGCGAAAATAGTCGATTCTAATTGGTTCTTGAAAAAGATGTCTATGAAACTGTGATTTTCAATGGTAATGGTTGATCTACTAGAAATCCGAATGGATCGAGTTGATGAGAAAGTAGTATAGCCCAATTTCTACCTGATGAAATAATAATTGAATAGTATCCTCATCCAAAACTATCGCTATCAATCAACAGGATATTCAGAAATGGCACAATCTCATTATCATCTTTCCTTTCTACTAACTGGGCTGGTTCGAACAATAAACGGAATTAGAAGACACTGAGCATAGTTTCGTATTGAGTTGTCATAGTTGAAACCATACATTGTTAATTGGAAAATCAATCCAGTTCACAACCTTAGTCATAAGAATCGAATGTTTTTATCATTGTTAACAATATTGTACAAAAAACAATATTCGTTTACGATTGAGAGTAGGAGATGCAGTTATCTCAAAAGGGGACAGATCAAAAGTCTCTGGAATATTATTTCTTCCATCACTAGCTATAGAACCTACCATTATGTACTCCTTTTCAAGGCATAAACTGTGTTTTTTCAACTTCACAGAACTATAACGATTGAAATATGTTGCTAGTGATGACAAACATTTAATATACACCTTGATATATCGAAGACTAGAACCTTTGGTACGATAATACACTACACACTGTTTTACCACTAACCAAACCGATTTTTACACCTCGACACGTGTTTCGCTAACTATGTTAGCATCTTCATGGGAAGATTGAAACTAAACTTTCTATCCTAGTGTGCTACTTATGTACTAGGTAAACGTATAACCGCCAAGTTATTGTTTTGAATTTGACACAGAATGATTGTTGTGAGGAATATTTAAAGTTTTGAAAACTTCAACCAACCACTTGAAATATCGAAAGTAGGAGACCCAATTGCGGATACAATTTTCTTACCGGGTTTGTGTATTTTTGGTAAACAATAAAATCTTTGTACACTTGGGTTAGATATTTGTAATTTATGTGATGTAATAGATAAATCGTGTGTAGCCGAACACCTGTTCAATCACAATCATAACACACTTATAAATAACCTCAAATTAGTTAAGCAAGTTAAGAATGTTAGGAAATTAGATGCATTTGAAAGCTTAGAGATATATAAGAATAGTAATAGAGTAATAAATAAGAATAATGGACCTATGCCATTTAGTCCTTTGTATAATTTAGTGATATAAGACCAAGGTCAACATGCCAACTCAACCATGACTAATATCAACTTGGCGGTTATTGTCTTTCACGGTTGGGTGGACATATACCTAGTATATAAGTAGCACACTAGGATAGAACGTTCAGTTTAAATCTTCTCCTGAAGATGCTAACTTAGTTAGCGAAACATCGGTTTGGTTAGTGGTAAAGCAGTCTGTAGTGGATTATACCAGGGCCTACTCTATCTACCGGGCCGGAGCATCGCTTTCGTGACGTCACACTATAGTAGGGACAAAATCAACGCAGTGGAAATTGTCTCTCCCGTTTCATTGATTTACCTCGGGAAAACGGTCACGGTTAGCAAAAAATATCAAGAGGTCAAATATGTACAGAAAAGAATTTTCCAGAAGATGAATAAAATTTCACTGATTTACGATCATTAATTTCAGAAATATGACATATCAAAATTAATTGACGCCATTCAGAATTGTCCTTTTTCAAACAGCTACCAAAATTCCAATATTCAATTTACAGAAATGATTCAACCATGAAAAGATTTCGCATAGTATCTAGATTGACTGAGTTTTTTTTTAAATTCCAAAGGGCCAACAACAAACCGATATTTCAATTCAAGTAGAACGATGATTCAGGTGTTCATTACAGAATAGTTCAAAAAGTTCGGACGCCTCCCATGCTAATCCTATCAACTATGGATATATGCTGTCACTGACTTTTTTGTAGGAAATTTGATTGCCTACAAATCGGTATAATACACATCCACTTTATCTCGAAGGGTTTTAGCAGCGTTTATCTCAAAAGATGATCAGGACGCACTTTGATGACGTTAGAAATCCTATCACTCCAGTGTGTTATTACACAAAAACGCCTATTCGGTATCAATTATTTTCTACTGAAGAGTATTTATTTGAATGATAACGTTCAATTCATGGAAAAAATTATCGTAGTTTGATATATTGAGTTAGTGTCATCTTATTCCAATTCCAAATTTGCAAAAAATAGTATTCTGTTGTACAACGTCCTGATTTTCAATAAAATGGAATTTCGTTACAACGCCATAACTCGGTATTGATTCATCCTATTGGATTCATTTTTTCACCAAAAGTTGAGGAATTTGTTGGGGATCATTTCGTCTCGTCTCGTTGAGTGTGCTTCTAGAATTAATAGTAAATGAGCTATAGCCTATCAATTACGAACGCATCAGTACGGACTGATGTGAAATCTCAACCTACTAGTGTGACGTCAGCGTCGAGAGAGAGGAAGTAGACTACGGCGATTATACACCTTGTTAATGAAAAATATCATTACCACAGGACCTTATATCTCATAATCTTGGTCTCTGGGTGATGATGATATTCTTTACTACCTTGATTTGTAAATAACCATTCTTAGGATTGACTACTATCAGAGCCATGAGAGCGACCCAGCGATTCAACCGCGTCAATCAACACAACGTCGATGCCAACATCAAAGCGCAGTTCGCTAGTCAAGCGGCATCTAGATGGCTGGGGCTCAGACTGCAGTTCATCGGAGTAGCCGTGGTGACAGGCGTCAGCTTCATCGCCGTGATACAGCATCAGTACGATGTCGCTGATCCCGGTAGGTTTTCCAATCATCCATCTTGTATATTTCGAAAAGTATATGGGAACTTTTATGGAAGGAAGGGAAGGAAGCTGAAGCACAAAATTTAATGACGTTGTTAAACGATCACTGACATGTTTCGGTCTTTGAAAATACCATCTTCAGCTTGATTAAAAGTTCTACAATACAAAGGAAATGATGATTTTATTGAGTGTCATAACATTTCAATCATGAGAAAGTATACATGGGGTGTTCCTTTATGACTTGCTCAAAAAAAAAACACCTTCTTGAAAACGTATGAGGTAAAAGTCATATAACTTTTGAGATACAGCATATCAAAGTTGTTGAAAAATAACAGTTTTTTTCCAATGAATTGGTGAGAACATGAGGGCAAATGAAACAGCGATAACATTTGGCCAATCGGATATTATTGTTTGTATCAAACTAAAACGTGACCAACAAAAGATAATTTTCAAATTTCATACAGAGCTATGAAAGCCCATCGAATTTGTACAAAAATTGAGCGACTGTTGAAACTCGATAGGATGCATCTTTTTCGAGAAAAAACGGAGAAACAAAACCAGACTCCAAATTTTGATGTAAATGCTGAATACTTCATTCAAGATATGATCAGTTCAGATTACTCTGGATAACCATAATATGTTACATACTGAAATTTTTGCACTATTTCAGTCACATGACAGATCAAATTGTGTCATTACGAGAAATCTGAAAGGTAAACGGGGTGGAAAAATGAATCTATGTATAGGAACTTTTATCCCTTGAATAAGCCAAGGAATCTTCTCCTTCAATATGTACAAGACATTTAGGAATACCTTGTATCACATGAAACGAGTATGGGTAGTGTGGTGTAATATGTTTCGTAAACGAGAGAAAACTTTTTCCAATAGGTTTATGTGAAATATTTATATGCTACGACCATGAGCATTTTCATAATTTGGTAACTTGGAGAGTACTCCAAGGTTCAATCTTGGGTCCATCGCTGTTCATTTCGTATGTGAACGGTGAGAATGTTCTAGCGTTCCACTAACCGAATATTCCTGAAGTTTCTTGATCAAATGACACATGTCAGTATTTCAATTTTTTCAACTAATAAACTGTATGCTTTGCTCCCAGATCTGTACCTAGAAAATTAGTATTCGAAGTAGAAACAAATATTTTTCAATGAGAGCTAATAATATTTCAACGAAAAATCGTGAAATAAATTTGACGAGGTGGTCTCAACAGAGTATGAATGGGAGTAGTTGAAAAACTATTATTATATTCATTAGAAATCATGTCATGCAAGTAAAAATTCTTTCTGTACAGTGTGTCCAGTTTTCGATGCTTTTGCGTGATATCTCAGTTATCTCTCGAGATATAACCTTGCGACTTTCGCGGTCTAGTGCCACTATTATTATGTGAAACTCAAGGTGGCCTAATCAAATTTTGCATAATTGTTTCTGTTTATGAGATACAGGGCGATTTCGAACTATAGAGAATTTTACGCAGAATCCAGTGGCGCATTCAACATTTTTTGTCGGGGTATGGTTTTGGAGATACCACTCAAACTTATGTATTTTTAAAAGGAACACCCTGTATTTTATAAGCTCATAAAATTCCTCATTTTTTTCTCTTCGAAATTATATATAATGTATGAATCTAAAATTTTCAAAAATGCTCTAAAATCACTAAAACATTGAATTTTAATAGTGGGCCATGGATTTTTCATATGAAAAAGTTCCAATTGAAGGAACATTCATTTTGATTTTTCCATGAAGAGGACAAAAACAATATCAACAATAATAAGCTGAGAAAACACAAAAATTAGGTACCTGATAGCAACGAATAGTAATGAAAATTCATAATGTCGAATAACAATTGAATTTCGAAATTATTCAATAACTTATTCATTGAATTGTTCAAATTGATGTCCATTTCCCCTAACATACAATTGACGCAGTTTCTCAATACGTCTTGATACAGTAAGAGGCACAATAATCTTGAAGAACTTCGTGCAACAACGGAGGCAGTTTTCCAGGAATTACAAAGACATCCTTTTATGATTTTGAATGCGTTAAGACGAATTGAGAAAGTGTGTGAGGGAAAATGGACATCAATTTGAACAATTCAATGAATAAGTTACTGATAAATTTCGACATCAAATTGTTTATATTCAATCAGGTGCTTATTCTAATGTTTTAACACACTGTATGATGGAAACAAGGCGATTCCGGACCCACGTTCATGTAAAATGAATTTCTTATTTTATTATGTAGAATCACCCCATTGATTTTTGGCGCATAATTTCCAGACAACATGTATACCATGTATACGTTTGAACATTACTAACATATCGAAAATAGTGTACATGATTCGGGGTAAATAAGTACACTCTTCACGTTTGAAAATCTCCTCTTGCGATATAAAACGTAGTTTTCATCATAGTTTTGAAATATTGGTACCATATTCTTTCCAGGGATGGTTGGATTGGCGATTTCCTACGCTTTGACTATAACAGCAGCTTTAGGTGGAGTGATAACCTCGTTTACTGAAACCGAAAGAGAAATGATAGCAGTGGAACGTGTTAATCAGTACATAGAAGACATACCGGCAGAGTCCGTGTACTTTGTGACAGATCCGCCATTTGCTTGGCCCAGCCAGGGAGTTATCGCTTTCAAAGATGTCGTCCTGAAATACAGGTTTGTTTTTCCAATAATTTGATTATTCACACAACAACTTTCGATTAAAAGTGAATCAACAGAAAATTAGAATGTTCAACTTCTAGAAATTGTCAGAGAATTCTTCAAGTCGAAGACAGCAAACATGATGTTAGTAGTGGAAAGAAGAGATTACCTACGTAAATAACGTTAATTTGACCATTTTATTTTCCAACTCCAATATAAATTGAAGTTAAAAATGATAATTCACGAGTTGACTCTCCGAAAAATAGTTATTTGTTTAACTAGGCAGCAAAGTAGTAGATTGACTGCCGAGGCTGAATTCATAGCCGAGCGTAGCGAGGCTAGGAATCCAGCTAAGGCAGTCAATCTACTTTGATGCCGAGTTGAACATATAATTTTTTCTCCGATTGTTCATAATGATATATATCTTTTTATTATTTTGTAGTGTTCAATTAAAATAAAATTTGATAGAAATCGCAGTTGTTGGAATGGTTGGTTGCTATGGAAATGTCCATAATAATTATACTTTGACAATTCATGAAACTTCTGACAGTTGTGCGAAAAAATATCGGTATATTTAAGTTATTATATAATGGACAGTGATAGCGACCTGGAAGTACTTACACCTCCAGAAATAAGGGAGGTGGCAAAAAATATAGAGTTGAATTTGTTGCCGGAGAGGTCTCGGATGAAATATGAAGGAAATTATAAACGATTTATGGATTATTAATTTTGCTGATACATATCAATCAGCAAAGTAACCACTTTGCTGCCTAGGCAGGAAAAGTAATACTTTGCTGATTGATATGTGTCAGCAAAATTAATATTTGCTGCCAATCGGAGAAAAAATAATTAGTCGGAACTTCATATAAAAAGGTTATCAATAAATACATTGCTGAAAGAACACCACGTTGCCATTAAATTATTGAAATATTTTTTTTTTCTAGGGAGCATTTGGTGCCTTCATTGAAAGACATATCATTCGAAACGAGACCGTGTGAAAAAATCGGAGTTGTCGGAAGGACAGGATCCGGAAAAAGTTCGATGGTGTCAGCTCTGTTCAGGCTAGTGGAGATTTCTTCAGGATCCATTTGTATCGATACTGTCGACATCAAAAGGATATCCATTTCGGCCTTGAGGTAATATATTCACCACAGTATTTCATAATAACTAGAAATTAAATCATATATATATACAGTGTCATTCATAAAGTCGGCATCATATGGGAAAAACTTTTATCATTGACTTATTTTGAAATTCGAGTTGGACGTTAAGTTTTGCTTCAAAAAAGATGAAAAATGGCCTACTCAATCGGGGTCACGTGACTTTCGCTACATGTCAAAAGTGACATTTTTTCAAATTAATCGCTGAAAGTAGGCTTATTTGTTCGAATATCGAAAAAGTTCACTTGAAAAAGTTGTTTCTATTTCAATTTCACACATGCTTCCCGAATTTGATCTTTCTATTGCAACTTTTAGATTTTGATTTTTTTTAAATTTTTCGAAATTTCTGTAATATTTGAAGTATTTTTAATTCCACGAAACTACTTCATACCAATAGCTTTTTCATGCTACTTACTTTCAATTACTTATTATCACTGATTATGGACAGAAATATGATTTTCTTCAGAAAATGATAATACCCGCTTCCAAATTCTGTTATGTTTGATGCAAAGTTGATATATCGTCAAGCATTTAGAAACGAAATTTATTCAAACTGTCTTTTCAGTTCTGAAAAAATTAATTTTAATGAATTTCGTTTCTGAATGCTTGACTCAAACATAACAGAATTTTTATTTTATGTTTGGATCAAACATAATAGAATTTTGAAGAGGACAGTATCATTTTCTGAAGAAAATCATATTTTTGTCGATAATTAGTGATAATTAGTAATTGAAAATTAGTAACATGATGAAGCTACTGGTATGAAGTAGTTTTATCGAATTTACAATTTTTTTAATATTATAGAAATTTCGAAAATTTAAAAAAAAAATATCGAAATCTAAAAAATGTAATAGAAAGATAAAATCCGAGTCACATATGTAAAATTGAGATAGAAACAACTTTTTCAAGTAAACTTTTCCGATATTCGAACAAATAAGCCTACTTTCAGCGATTAATTTGAGAAAATGTCACTTTTTACATGTAGCGAAAGTCACGTGACCCCGATTGAGTAGGCCATTTTTCATCTTTATTGAAGCAAAACTTGACATCCAACTCGAATTTCAAAATAAGTCATTAATCAAAGTTTTTCCCATATGATGCCGACTTTATGAATGACACTGTATATATATTGTGAGCAAAGGTTTATTCCCTCCCATGTGTGTCTAACTTCACAGGCGGAAGGAAATTGATACCATTGCACCCTTGATATATAAATAGCTATTGAGGTCTGTAATAGCACAGTGTAATTTTGGAATGTGAAAAATTCAATATCAGTTCTATTGGAATATCATTTCAGAACTGAAACAATGATAATAATAAATAACTCAAAAAATGGCCCTGCTCAGAAAAATGAATCATGTAGACTAGGACAAACCAGTGTATTTTCTTCAGGCTCCATCATGAAAGTTATGAAAATAGTCTATGCTCAAACTGGAGTAGAATTGTACAGCAGAGAGAAAAACTCATATTCATCTCCACATTATTTGCGGTCGCCAAAATCATTATAGTCCAATAAATAAAGGGAAAAAGTTAACATTAATTACGCACTATTTTCATCTTCCGGTTGGAAGTAGCTTTTGGTACCTCATTAAACTTGAGACAAAGTTTGACTGGAAAACGCGTGCGATGGCGGAGAAAATGGCCCCAAAAGACCAGAAAAATAGGTTTTCAGCCAATATCTCCTAAAATATGGCAGTTAGAGATTTTCGGTTCAGATAAAAATTGAAGTTCAGTTAATTTTCTACAAAAATGGCCCCTATCATTTTTCTCGAAAATTTGCCCGGTTTCGAGAAAAACGGCACGAAGCGCACCTCGAATAATGATCTTCAATGTTGTATGCCGGAGGGCACAGTCCGTGTATTTACACATCGGCGGGGGGACAAATTATTCAATAACTTTGTTGAAAATGCATATTTTCTCATGTTCAAAGTTCATGTGAAAGAGGAATTCTGCTGCTATCATACCTTGTGAATTGAGTCACGCTTGACTCTTTTGGCCATATCGGAACATGGGTCAAACTTTCTGCTCCCGGTCAATTTTGACCTCGCCAGGAATTTGTTCCTATTTTTTCGTATTGCACTAATTTACTCAAAATTCTCTTGATTATGGGTCCTCATAAGGTCCTTCGTCATCCCTGAAATTTGTATACCCTAATTTTTTTTGATTTTCATTTAATCTTTGTTTATTGAATCCCAATTTTTTGCTGTTTTTTGAGCGCGGGGAAATTTTGTGAACAACCATCAATTAAAAATGTATACATGATCCGATTGGTTTCTATGATACATCATTTGAAAGCTAAGAAGGTCTACTTTTCGATTGTGCAATTACTTTTTTAGACGAAGTCGTCCATTTTTCAATAAAATCAGAAAAAACAGGGTCAAGGAAAAAGCGCACTTTTTTTTTTCGGTGCTCTTAATTTCTAACATTTTAACACCTTAACTAGTGTAACGGGGGAAATCCCACTTTTCCATCGATGTATATAAGTCATACCTTTGATATCCCGGGAAAAAAACAGTATATCTAAATGTACACGCTATGATTTATTACATTCGTTCCTCCGTCGTTCGCCGCGTGTGTGCTCTACGTGGCGCTCGGGTCGTCTGCTACAAACCATGCGGCCACGCAGGTTACGATAGCAGCAGAATTCCTCTTTCACATGAACTTTGAATCATGAGAAAATATGCATTTTTAACAAAGTTATTGAATAATTTGTCCCCCCGCCGATGTGTAAATACACGGACTGTGCTCTCCGGCATACAACAGAAGCTCATTATTCGAGGTGCGCTTCATGCCGTTTTTCTCGAAAACTGGCAAATTTTCGAGAAAAATGATAAGGACCATTTTTGTAGAAAATTAACTGAACTTCAATTTTTATCTGAACCGAAAATCTCTAACTGCCATATTTTAGGAGATATTGGCTGAAAACCTATTTTCGTGGTCTTTTGGGGCCATTTTCTCCGCCATCGCACGCGTTTTCCAGTCGAACTTTGTCTCATGTTCAATGAGTTATCAAAAGCTACTTCCAACCGGAAGATGAAAATAGTGCGTAATTAATGTTAACTTTGCCTTTTTTTCCTCCTTCATTTATTGGCTTATTAGATGACGTTGCAATGACATTGAAAACTACGGAAAAATATTATAATCCCTGGCATAGATTGAAAGTTAGACTTGTTTCCTCGTAGTTTTCACTGCCATCAGAAAGTCATCTAATGACCTTGGCGACCTCGAATAAACTCATCATCAGTCTCATCAGAATCATCATGAATCCTTCTTTCCGATTGTCCTATAGATCAAGGATGTTCTGCATACCGCAGGATCCTTTCCTCTTCACCGGATCCGTCAGAGAGAACCTGGATCCGCTCGGAGAATTCCGGGACAACGAAATCAGCAGCGCCCTGACCAAAGTCAACCTCATGGAGGTGTTGAGACGCTCGGGGGGGTTGGACTTTAGGGTGGAGGAGGGTGGTTCGAATTTTTCCGTGGGGCAGAGGCAGCTGGTCTGTTTGGCCAGAGCGGTGCTTCATAATGCTAAGGTGAGTGTGAAACTCTCATCGGTGTTTAGAATAGAATAGAATAGAATAGAATATTTATTTAACCAATAGATCATTACAAAATGACATAGGTCGTGTCAAAAATACAAAAATACAAAATTTCAACAAATACCACAATACAGAATAAATAGATATAAAAATAAAAGTATAAGTACTAGCACACATAAAGAGGTTATATAAATATACATTTGAGTATTTGAGTATTTGAGTATTTATTCAATATCCATGAACAGTCAAATGGTTTACATACATTCAGGTACAAAATGAGCTTTAAAAGCTTGTGTGTGCACCAGTCACATTTATAACACAATTCACCTATGAGTGAATTTGCTAATGAATCGTCTTATAGACTATATATACTATACTATCTGGACTAATATGTACTAATGTAATATACAATCTGAATATATACAATATATGCAATATATGTCAAACTAATAACTAGATATTGGGTTTGCTTTTTAAAATCCAAGATGATATTTTATTTTTGATTTTTTTGTATGGTTTGCCTTTGAGTTCGTTTGGCAGTATGTTATATATTTTTGGTCCTATATAAAATATACTTCGTTGAATGGTTACATAAGATGTAGTAGGAACAATTACATTTTCATTTGTTACTGATCTAGTTGTTATAACATGATTAACTTTCGGTATATTCATTTTTGATAGATATCTTACAACAGATTTTAAGTATAATTGAGAAATGTCAAGAACACCTGCATCTTCAAAGAGTTTGTCAGTACATACATAAGAAAATAACATCATACAATAATCATATGTATAAAATCAGTGGTTCACGCGTAATATAGTTTCACTATGATGGAGATATTCTTCCACTGAATAGAATCCTTCAGTGCACAAGAAGTATTTTACTTTCCGTTTGAAGGAGTTCAAGCCAGAAATTGTCTTCAACTCGACGGGCAGGCAATTGAAGAGCTTAGATTCTATATGAATTGGCGATCTTTCGTTTAGTTTGGTATTGTGTTGCCTTGATCTGAGTAAATTTCCGTTTCTCGTAGGATATCTATGTGATTGAGCATTTGTTTCTAACAGAGATTCATTTTTCTTTATGTAAGCGAATAGGCTGTAAATGTAAATACTAGGAACAGTAAGAATTTTATAATTTTTGAAATATGGTCTGTTTTAGTTTCAATTGGCATTTCTTCAACAACAAACATTCTTGATCAATTTGAAGCCTGTATTTCGTATCGTTACCATAGCAACTAAACAAATTCCTTGGAAATTTTTTCCTCCTCCTTGGGGGACGGAGCATGAAATTATACTGGAAATTTTTTGACGTTTATAGGTTGAATGACATTGACATTCAACTTCAGATTATTTCGAGTTCATTCTATAAGTCAATAAATAGAAATCATTCATCAACAGTTTACCATATAATATTATGTAGGTATACTTGCAAATTGGAAATTTACAAAAACACATGTTGTTACTCTACGTTAGTTTTTACATTTCATCAGAAACAATCATCATTTTCATATAAACACTATGATATTATACCTACTCTTCAGTTTTGACATGATGAATGACACGTAAATAAAAAAATATATTATTCTTCTGAGTTAACATACAAAGCCTACTAATCAAATGTCGAAACCATCAAAAATCGTCATTATCCAAGTAGTTTTTTAAAAATATTTCAGTGTGGAATTTTCTTACCGAATACCACTTTAGCTTCAATTAATATCCGGGATTTTTTTCTCGAACACGGATATTTCGAAAATTCTCCCGAGTCGAAGACAAAGGAGAATTTTCAAAAAATTCGTGTTTGAGAAAAAATTTCCGGAAATAATTGAAGCTCTCGTGATATTATAAGTGACAATTGTGTAGATAGATTGATTTATTGGTCCACTTACAACTTACACAAGTTATGGGACAAGTCATGAAACAATTCATACTGGAATTGCATACCGGAATTGCATTCATTTTGGATTGTTCCAATTCTCTCAATAATTTGAACCTACTCTTCAGTTAATATATTATATAGCCTAAGACCGATGTTTTGGTAAGATTGTTGACAAAATGGCAAACGATAATATCTGAATGAACCTCAACAGGTAATTTTTATAGAAGCACTGGCAATGCTTCTAAATATCCTTTTCTGAGTTATGAAAACATATTTCATAGAAGATGACCCCAAATCATAATGCCGTATATCAATACAGACTGAATTTTACCATGGTAAAATAATAATAGTGCCTCTTTGTTCAAAACAGTTCTCAAAACCCTAATCTGGTAGCATATTGTATTCAAATTTTTCATGATATCATCACAATGTATTGTGAATTTCATGTTACTGTCCAAAGTGAGCCCTACAAATTTCACACAGTTTGATGCTTCTATAACCTTATCATTGACTTGAATATCTAGCTTGTGCTCACTATCATTTTGACGTATTTGAAATCGCATGCATGAGAGATTTTCAAGACTGGAGTGAATAGTGGTTTGTAGAGTATACTCATTCCTTCCTGTAAATACAAGTTTTGAGTCATCAGCATATAGACAAGAGAAGGCCTCAGGTAAACCTACAGAGGTAATTATTGATTTATATAAAAAATGAACAAGACAGGTACCAACACAGAACTCTGGGGTACGCCTATTTCATAATGTAATTGGAATATCTTTACGCTTTGTGTGCGATTTTCAAGGTAAGATTGTAGGAATCGTATGGCTCGTGGAAGTTTTTCATTTTGCCAACTCTTAACTCTCTGTAGCGTGCTCAAATAATTTGATATAGCTGGAAACATCTCATAAGTGGCTGATACAGCAGCTTCTTCATTTGGAAATTTTTTACATATAGTGTCATTCATAAAGTTGAAATCATATATGGGAAATACTTTTAATAATGTAACGTTACTTTCGCTACATGTCAAAAGTCACATTTCTTTAAATTAATCGCTTAAAATAGGTTAATTCCTTTGAATTTCAAAAACAGTTCACAACAGAAAGTTGTTTCTCAATTTTCATGGACACCTTTTGAAATAAAAAGTATCTACCCATTCATAACGTACATCCAATCTTTTTCCTGATTTCTCAAGGTACTAACACATTGAAGGTAAATAATTATGGAACGTTTTCCTTGAAGGGGAGATATCCTTATTTTCTTTTGAAATGTTCGATGGAGGTATTGCTGTGATATTCATACAAATATTTTATTGTAGAGAATCGAAAATCTTTTCAAGGGTCCTTGACATAAATGTAAACACACCTTCGAAATATCTCTATCAAATTTCCAAGTGACCCGTTGACATTGTCAATATTTTTTTCTCCAAGCTTAATAAAAAGTGGATTTTTTCTGACACTCAACAGGAAGGAAAGGTGCACTTTCTCTGTCTAGACAGGAAAAGTTTAGTGCTATGCAATGTTTCAAGTAATTTGGTTTCAGTAAAAACATACGCAATAAGTAGTTATTTTTTGTATTTAGTGCACGAAATGCTACTTTGAATAGTAGAGATGACCAAATAATTCGCGCTAGAGTTGCAAACGAATTTTTTTCTACAATCTTCGAAATATATAGTTCTAAAGTACTAATATGCTTAGCTTGATATAAAAAATAGCTTTGAACTGGCTTTAAAAGGCATTAATTACTAAATACTGTGTGCCCAATTCAAATCCTATGATTTAATAATATTCATAGTATCAACATCAACAAATTTACCATTCTCTCTTTCAACACTAAAATGAGCTCGGAAAAGTGGACTTCTCCGCACGCTAGTAGAAAAAAAAATATTATTGTCATATCCCAAGTTCAGTGGGAGCTTAAACTAATGAATCATCGTATTACTCTCCAGATATTATGTATAGACGAAGCGACAGCGAACGTGGATGAAGACACCGACAGACTGATCCAACAGACCATCAGAACGGCCTTCCGACAGAGCACCGTCATCACCATTGCCCATCGCATCCAGACCATCTTCGATTCTGATAGAGTACTTGTCCTCAGCCATGGGGAAATATTGGAGTTCGGAAGTCCTGATGACCTCATGGCAGATCCCAACTCCCACTTCCATAAGTTAGTCGACGAATCGTGATAATATTTATTCCAGTTATGTAAATTCAGATACTTTGTACAGTTTTCTGTCAGTTTGAATGTTTATAGAGAATTTCAGGATGGATACTATGACGTTATCATTATCAAGAGTATAACAATTGAAGAAACGACAATTGAAACTTTATGACATAATGATTGTCATAATCAATATTAAAACCTCTGAAGTTTTCAATTCATCACCCATTATAGCATTATTGAATTAAAACATATATTTGAATCGTGATAATATTTATTCCAGTTATGTGAGTTCAAAACTTTTTAAAATCTTTTATTTAACTTGCATTGTATGTTTGTATGGATGTATGTAGGTTCGGGTGGAATCTTTGAACTCAATTTTGAAGTAGAAATCTTCAACCGATTAAGCTGAAATTTTGTATACACGTTCAGTTTGGATGACAATGCACGATAAGGTGTGTCACGTTATTCTAAATCCAATATGGCGGACTATCCAAGATGGCGGAACAGGTATTTTCGATATACTACCACAATATGGATATCAAATGAAAAGGCTCGTTGAGAGTAACTCGAAAAATGATGTGACGTCATTCTAAATCGAATATGGCGGACCATCCAAGATGGCGGAATGGTCATTTTCGATCCACTCCTACAATATGGGTATCAAATGAAAGGGCTCGTTGAGAGTAATTCGAAAAATAATGTCACGTTATTCTAAATCCAATATGGCGGACCATCCAAGATGGCGGAATAGCTATTTTTGATATACTTTTACAATATGGGTATCAAATGGAGAGACTCGTTGAGAGAAACTCGAAAAATGATGTTACGTCATTCTAAATCGAATATGGCGGACCATCCAAGATGGAGGAATGATCATTTTCAATCTACTTCTACAATATGGGTATCAAATGAAAAGGCTCGTTGAGAGTAACTCGAAAAATGATGTGACGTCATTCTAAATCGAATATGGCGGACCATCCAAGATGACGGAATGGTCATTTTCAATCTACTTTTACAATATAGGTATCAAATGATAATTTCTACCCATAAGATACTGAATTCCAAAATGATATCATTGATGATGAGCTTTCATGATAACTATTACTTACCTTACCTACCTTAGTTTTTTGCAGCAAAAAAACTTCATATTGAACTTTTTTCATCATAAACCCTGATGAAAATATTTGATAGAGTTAGTTTTGTCGCCTTCTTGGAATTGGTGCAAATTATACTGGTATGTTTTCTTCCTGAACTCACTGAAGTATCTCACTTCACATAGTATAATGTGATGAAAAAATGGTACCCACACTTTTTTAACCTTTACAATAAAACTCGTTGGCCACCCTTTATACGTACGTACTTCCCGGATTAGGCCGGAAAAATGCTAGGTACTTTCTCAAAGAAAAAGCGTCCGAAAAATTACATATCGACAAATCGAAACTAGCTGAACATATCCTCACTGAAGATAAACAACATAATATATGTCAGAGTGGAATAATAATAAAATCATTGAAAGAGAAGATTACAACTTGAAGAGGAAAATCAAGGAATCCGCTTGCATTCTTCAGAACGGAGACAATAGCATCGCTTCCTGTTCAGTTGATAGGATAGAACATAGAATTCACTACTGAATTCTGATCATGAAAATGGTAAATTCAATATTAATAAATGAAAACTCCCTGTTACTCATTTGTTTGCAAAGTCCCCCATTTGTCACTGCGAAGTGTCAAAACTATATATGATACCAGACAAAAATTTGTGAGAAATAATATTCGTTCTACTAGGCAGCAAACTAGTAAATTGCTGCCGTGTGAAACATAAATTTTGCTCCAAATGTTATGATACCAATTTGGTGTGATTTTTTATTGAAAACTCCTTCATTTTGTGTTCACCCAATGTCATTGTCAATTTTGATTACCAATTTCATTGAAATTATTTGGGGAGCAGATTCGATTCCAAAACGTCCGAAGATAAGTGAAATTCTGATATATTTTTTAAATACCTATATTTCTCTTCTCCAAACTTTTTTCAAAACAAAGTGTCACTGACAAGTGAATGTACTCTTATAGGTACTCTTATAGGAACATTTTCAAACGCAGTTACACTTTGGGGCAAACCATCTGGTTTGTCCTCACTATACGTATATTGGAATAATACTCATATCTTCATTTTATAGATATAACGAGGAGAGAAAACCCCAAACAATCTGCAATAAAAATGTAGGTTTCTATACCAAAATGAGAAAGTTGGTGCCGACTTTTGGCACACACTATATAGCTGCGGGAGATCAGAAATATTTCATGTAGATTGGAAATGATCGATTTACTTCTTTCAAGTTTTTACATAACTACAAGTTGAAAAAATCACCTTGTATATGGAGTACGCTATATGGCAAAGTCTCTGCTAATCGAAACGTAGTATGTCACACCGCAACAAAAAAAAATAAAACCGGGGCGAAACATTTCGTGCTTCCCCTCCAAACCCAATCTTGTTCAGGCCTCGAAGTACATGGGCTTCTTTTCCGCTTAATGAAAGTTTTCGAGTGTTTTTCGAGGGGATATTTTGCATACTGCGACCACTTACAAAGCCATTGTGCCCGTCGCTGAATGGGCCCCGAACGGCGGATGAATATCTCGGTGCTATAACACTCCAAACAGCCTTACTATATATTTTCCTTCTCTCGGCTTAGCTGTGAGCTACAATGAAAAATGAAAATTCCGGTATATACAGTGTCATTCATAAAGTTGGCATCATATGGAAAAAACTTTTATTAATGACTTATTTTGAAATTCGAGTTGGACGTTAAGTTTTGCTTCAAAAAAAATAAAAAATGGCCTTCTCAATCGGGGTCACGTGACTTTCGCTACATGTCAGAAGTGACATTTTTTCAAATTAATCGCTGAAAGTAGGCTTATTTGTTCGAATATCGAAAAAGTTTACTTGAAAAAGTTGTTTCTATTTGAATTTTACATTTATGTGACTCGGATTTTATCTTTCTATTACATTTTTTAGATTTCGATATTTTTCAAAAATTTTCGAAATTTCTGTAATATTGAAAAAATTGTGAATTCGACAAAACTACTTCATACCAGTAGATTCATCATGCTACTAACTTTCAATTACTAATTATCACTAATTATCGACAAAAATATGATTTTCTTCAGAAAATGATAATCTCCGCTTCAAATTTCTGTTATGTTTGATGCAAACATAACATCATTATTCTGTTATGTTTGAGTCAAGCATTTAGAAACGAAATTCTTTAAATTTATTTTTTCGGTACTGAAAAGATCAGTTTGAATGAATTTCGTTTCTAGATGCTTGACGATATATCAACTTTGCATCAAACATAACAGAATTTGGAAGCGGGTATTATCATTTTCTGAAGAAAATCATGCATATTTCTGTTCATAATCAGTGATAATAAGAAATTGAAAGTGAGTAGCATGAAAAAGCTACTGGTATGAAGTAGTTTCGTGGAATTAACAATTCTTCAAATATTACAGAAATTTCGAAAAATTAAAAAAAAAATCATAATCTAAAAGTTGTAATAGAAAGATCAAATTCGAGAAGCATGTGTAAAATTGAGATTGAAACAACTTTTTCGAGGAAACTTTTTCGATATTCGAACAAATAAGCCTACTTTCAGCGATTAATTTGAAAAAATGTCACTTTTGACATGTAGTGAAAGTCATGTGACCCCGATCGAGTAGGCCATTTTTCATCTTTCTTGAAGCAAAACTTAACGTCCAACTCGAATTCTAAAATTAGTCATTAATAAAAGTTTTTCCCATATGATGCCGACTTTATGAATGACACTGTATATCAAGAGAACTAGGAAAAATGTCTCTTGACTCCCCAGGTAGCATACTGACATCATTTTGAAGTATTTTTTTGTCACGCTGGACGTCTATTATTCGTTCTGATGAATGACGCCATAGTGACGGTAGGATGACGTGATTATGTCACAGCTCGGGAACGTCATTTTGTAACGTTATTTCGACGTGATATTTCGAAGTGCATTGGGTCATTCGAGTGACGTCATTTCGAAGTTCAGGAAACGTCAATTCGACGAACGGTTCACCTTAATTCGACGTAATGTGGACCTCATTTTGACGGTTTTTTTTTTTCGTCATCTTCGACATCTCATCGACATATGAAGAATGAAGTTTTAATATTGATAGAATGACAGATCCCTCTCAATATTGAAACAACACTGTATATTATTGAATGAGATCTCTGACAGTGATGACTTCGAGCACTGCTATTAATAATTCCTATGGTGGCAGAATAGTGTAGTAGGTAGTGTAGTTGGTATTACTATCAGCAATAACCTTTCTTGGGAAAATCACGTGAGATCGATCTTCTGTTTCGGGCCAGGAGCTATTTCACTTCCAGTCAGCTGCTTACGATCTATTGGTCACAGATCCGGCATGCCCTGGAATACTGTTCCCATATTTGGAGTGCAGCACCCGAACATACCCTGAAACTGTTGGATTCTGTCCAAAAAAGGGCAATTCGTCTCGTGTGTGATGCCTCGCTCACAAACTCACTCACTTCTCTGGAACACCGTAGAAAAGTTGGCGATCTGGCTCTATTTTATAGATAATTTCATGGACGATTCTCTTCTGGAATATCAACAATTGTTCCTCCCTTGGCAGTCCCCGCGAGATTAACCCGTCGAGTTGAGGCCTCGCACCTCTTTGTGGTCACTTTGGAGACCTGCAGAACATCTCTTTCCAAAGACTCGTTCATCCAACGAACAGCCAGGCTCTGGAACACATTACCAAAGGAGGTGTTACCCGAGGCATATAACCTCCAGAAATTTAAGAAGAACACCAATTCCTACCTTATGTCCCTTGTTTCTCACGATGTTCTCTGAACATTACAGGATATCCCTTCTCGTAGGAGGGAACCAGAACATAAAAAAAGAACGCCTGTAAATGAAAGAAAAATCAGAGTAAAATAGCCTCACGTATCCAATGCGAAGTGTGGAAAATAAATAAGGTTAATTATTACCTA